TCTTATCACTAGATTCAACTCAAGGAATTTCAATATGCCTAAAGTTTCGGAAGATTTATTGATCTATTTTGTGGCCCATTGCCAATCAGTGTTAAAACTGAAATATTCAACAATCAAATTATATCTCGCTGGAGTTTGTTTTCATGGAGTTAATTTTGAAAATGTGAACCCCCTTTGTGATAGATTTGGTCATACATACCAACGCTTGCAAAATGTGTTAAATGGAGTTAAAAAATCTGAGAGTAAGCCATTACGACAAAAGTTACCAATAACGTTTAAAATTTTACAGGAAATAGTAACTTGTTTTCAATGTGGATATTTCAATCATGATTATATGGATTTAACATTTCAAACAGCGTGTGTTCTGGCATTTTATGGTTTCCTGAGATGCAATGAGTTTACATGTAGAACTGTTTTTGATCCAGATTCAAATTTATGCGTTTCTGACATAAATTTCGTTTCAGAAAGCGAAGTAACTGTAAATTTAAAAGCTACACAGACAGATATTTTCCGACAAGGTATTATAATTTCCTTGTTCAAAATAGATGGCGTCGTTTGTCCGTATAAATTGCTATTCCAGCTGATGAGTGCAAGACGAAACCTGAACGCAAGGCACAATGATTCGTTTTTCGTTGAAGAAACCGGAAAACCACTTTCCCGGAACTATTTTATAAGCAAGCTAAAAACAATACTCATGGCATTTGGATATAGTGAAAAGGATTATAGCGGACATTCTTTTCGATCAGGTGCGGCCACTAGCGCTAGTTCTCAAGGTATTGAGGACAGCATAATACAAACAATGGGACGTTGGAAATCAGATTGTTTTAAACGCTACATTAGAACTTCTAAATTGGATATTAAATCCGCGCTGGAAAAGATTAAATAACAAAGATAACAATGCAGCCAAACGTTTTTTACAATCGCTTATAACTTTGTAACTTGTCCTCCACCCTGGCCTTGTGTCTTTTCTTTTCACGTTGATCTCAATATTGTGGTTAAGGATTTTTATATTGACATTAATTTTTCTCTAGATCAACTTTAATTTTAACAAGACACAAGGCTTCATCAGGCACAACATCTTCAAATTTTGGGGTTACTCAATATGCAATTTTGAGCAGGCAACATAACGTTACATATTTCGTTTTGGGCTATGATATTTTATTTTGGCCAAATATAATATCGTTACCAAAATTTTTCTGAGTAGTTAGGGTGCCTACGTACCTTAACGAGGAATAGTCTCATCTTGATTGCTCAACAGCTCTATTTCACGTCGGTCTATGCCCACAAAGATTTACTCTTATGCGGTACCACGTGGAAAATCAAGATAGGCTATACCGCTCGGGAACGGCTTGCTAAAGTACTCTGTGACAAGTAGACTGGTAGTCGTACACACGTGTATGTAAATACCCTAATGGTGACGCATTTCTGTCAAAGATATGTGGCTAGCTCATCAACAGTATTTTAACGGCAAATTATCCTTAATTATCTGAGAACACACTATCATTTTATGTACATTCTGTGTGTTTTGTGTCAACTGCAGGTAGCATGTAATTTGTTTTGTTCTTGATTTACAATATGACAGAACTGAGTGAATTATATGATTATATGATACTAGAGAAAAAATATCCTTAATCATTCACACAGTGTGCCGCGCACACTGCTCGGATAGTGAAGTATAATGTTGGCGTCAGTTAGTTTACATTCATCGCTTTTTATTCAATGACGCCAAGGAAGTTTTCTGTAACATAACGTGTTGCCCTTAAGCCCAAATATTTGCATAATAAAAATAATTATTTTATCATGTTTTATATTTTTTCAGTACTTCAACAATATCAGACTGGGTATCTTGAAATACTTCCTGTTGGACGTTTACAGGCTTTATATTAACAATAACTACATTTGTAATTATGGTATAGTGTCTGTGATCGTTCTTATAAGAGTGGTCGTTAATAGCTATCAATTATCTGCGGTCAAGGTTTATTTATATCTAGTTGTATATCTCTAAGCATTGTTCACGCCAGTAATTCTCTTATCAATTGGTCTATTAGAGGTTTCTCAACATCTTACGAACGGACGAAAATCGCCTTAACATGACGTAACTTGCCGTAACGAGAAAAGAGGGAGCACTCATTTATTGAATGATTTTTGACTATTGGATGTGCACTTCCTTTCATAAGATATGCATGCAGGGTTCTTTTAAACCATTTTGAGTTGTGGACATATTATTATATTGAATGCGAGAATGTGTACTTAGTGACTTAGTGTCCTTTTTTGTTGAGATTGGAGTGGCAATGAATATTTTTGAAATTTATCTAGGCTCAGATCAAAGGTAAAAAGCCCTGCGCATAAAAGAGGTAAATTTAATCTAGGAGTGAACGACTCTAGAAAAAAATCGGTTTTTAATTTGAAAAAAAAAATCCTTGGGTCCGAGATAACTTTGTTGCCTCAAAGCTATAAAATCCAAATGGTCAGTTCTTCACCTTACATAATTATTATTGAACTATTTTCTACCAAAATTGGCAAGAAAATGAATAAAGGGAAATAATGAAATAGATATTTGAGAAAAAAAATTTCACTTGAAAAGATATTCCGAAATGTATTGTTGATTTTTGTTTTATTTTCAAGGCCTTTCTTATCCTTGTTGTCCTTTTATTATCGTACACTTAGTATATTAGTATTTTAAATTGTTTCAATGTACATTTTAATATCTATATTACAATCAGTTCTGTTGGTGCTGTAGCACTCATACTTTCCATTAGAATGCACACAACTCTATTACTTACAATATAACTGACTCCCCTAAAAAACGTTTAAAATACATATAAATAAATAGCGGTTTTAACGACATATATATCAAAGATACATAAAAAATACCGCCTTTTCTTGCTGTTAGGAGTGGTTCCCAATATTTATTATTGAATACTTTTGAATAAATGTGGAGATTAATGAAGAAATGAAACTGTTTTAAACCACATCTTATCTCTTCATGCGTTTTTATTCAATATGCATATATATTTATCGAAGTTGTTTTACACCTATTTATGTATCAACATTAATCAGAATATATGAAAAATGGGTTATGGTTAACGAGTTTTTGTGTTAGACCTTTCTTGCCACCTTTGATTTGTTTATGAAGGGACCAAATTTCATTTCTCTGTTACTTTCAAAATGCAATCTTTATTATTTGTCAACAATTATTAAGGATAGGAAAAGATTAGTCTACTTTGTTTGAACTATAAGAACTAGCTAAGGCCATATGCACTGCTGATATATTAGTCTGTGTGGCCTATAAATCCACGCAAAACATCTCTATAATACAGTGATCTGCTGGTCTCACGCAGATATAGAGTTGTGGTTTTTAAAGTCCAGCGCGCTGGGCTGTAAAGTCTAGCGCTGTATATCTAAAGTCGAGCGCTAGAGATGTTAAAGTCGTATGAAACGAGTGACTGGTGAAAAATAATGTTTATCCAATTCTTGAACCAATGCATGTATATATCATAAACTTGTCTTCTGTACACGATTTTATCATTTTTTACGCAAACATATCGTATAATCGTCAACTTTTTTTTCTCTTTGTCTGTTATGATGTAAAAATATGGCAGCTACTTAATTGTCGTGTTTTGGAGTCGTAGTTTACCGATTGTCACCTTATAGTAAACAATCAACAAAGAAGCATGGATATTGCGCACGTGTATAACATGTACAATCAGATAATAGTTCATTTTAATGACAGATCCATGCGTATTGCGATTACCGGAATTCTACGAGGAGGGTCACGCTAAGGTCACTTGCATACGGAAAATATGTCGGCGAATTGCTTCCTGGAAGCAAGCAATTAAAAAAAAGTAAACTTCTTCTAAATGTGGACAATTTAAAAAAAATTCTTCAGAAAAAAGTACATGTACACAAGTTTTATAATGAAAACTATCCATTTAGTTATAAAAAACATATGCATCATTTTTTTTTTTAATTTGAGGTTTCATGTGACTTTAAGTCCAGAGTTGGAGATTTAAATATAAAGGTTGTGTCCTCTCAACCACTTTTCAATCCTTTATCAAATGATAATATCGTCGTGAAATGTATGGAATACTCGCCACTGAACGTTTTGTAAAAAAACATCCAACAATCATTCAGTCAAATGCAAACCAAATGCGCAGATTTTTTTTTAACAACGACTATCAAAAACATTGTTCTTTTTAAATGATAAGGGAGATAAATCGAACGTATATTGGACATGTAAATAAACGAAACTCAACGTAAGGTTACTCAACATTCAACAACACAAAACCAATTGGAACACTCATGTTTCACCACAACAATAAATTACAAGGTTGCAAAATGAATATTAAATTGTTTACTGTTGTCTTTAAACACGCTGCAATATCGGTAGAAAATTTTACTGCATAAAATTACAGCTCCCTAACGATACGTTCGTCGAGTTTCGTCCGTTCGTAAGATGTTGAAAAACCTCTATTAAGGTCAACGCATTGAGGTTTTATTAGTTAATTGGCTTTGGTCTGCTGTGTCGGTATTTACTTTAGATCATACGATTGATGTGTATTTTATTATGTTTGAAACATGTTATATAAAATTAGCTTTTCTCAGTTTGTATTGTAAGTTTTTGGATTTTCTAACATTTTGGGTTTGAGCATCACTGAAGAGATCTTAATTGTCTAAATACGTACCAGGTGTAGTAAAATTATATTACTTCGCTGGGTTGATACCTATGTTGGGTCAAAATCTCCGCTGGGGGACTGATTGTACTCGAAAGTTCTGCAATTTAGTTGCTCAGGACTTTGGTACTGGCGTGAAAATACGGATATTGTTTTATTGAAATGTGTTGTTATAAATATAAGCAAGTCATTTTGTTTTAAGGAATCATGCATCTGGTGCAGTAAATTTGGTAGCGTTATTGTTATTGTCATTGCATTATTGATTTTTCTCACCCACTTGATATCACAAAGAGGTTGTCATTGAAACAAAATTATCACACAGAGGACTCATATTTCTTCATCTTTATTACAAATCAATAATACCGTGACATACACAGTGATATTTGTACAATATATATCATTTAGAGTAATTACCAAGAATCCAATAAAACAGACAACGCCATGGCCTAAAAAAAAAGACAAACAACGGACTACAAAACACGAACATAAAACTTTCAGGTTATATGCTGCAGTAGTTAATATAAAAGACAGGTACAAGACAACAGGGTAATAATGTCAGATTCACAAAGTGTGCATCATACGTGCGAAACACATACATTCAAATATAATATACGAGTCAACGACGAACGCATTTTGTATTATTGTTTTCTATCTGCCGTCTATATTCTCGTGATTACTCAATATGTTTTAAAGAATTCTTATTTCAATAAATTCAGACTGCAATCGACATCGTCGCCATTTTCGAGTTTTGCATTAACATGTAACCTAGTACATCCGAAAGTCATATTCACTGTAACAGTTGTTCCAAGGTTTTGCTTGTCAAATTTTGGAAAACTTACACAACCTAGTTTCCATGTGCTTTCACTGTTTGGATCTCGTGTGTATTCAGGATCTCTTTCCGTTGAAGCATATACTTCAATTTCTAATGACCCATGCGAATTAACTGCAACTGCGTTAAAATTGTGCGTTTTCTGTTCCCCAGGTTGAATTGTATCGCCAGCTCTTACAAATGGGTGAAATTTATCTTCTATGTATTCTTCATTTTCTACTTTGTGGTAGTGAGCAGACGAACGAGAATGCTTTTCTTCATCAAATGCTACACGAGTACTTATGCCAACCGTATGACGAATAACTCTTTCCATGATGATATCTGGTGCAAATCCATAAATAGCAGCCCCTTTCAACACCACAGACCCTGGTTCAGTTGGAACAAATACTTTCGCTCTGCTTTTCTGACTGAGCGTTTCCTTGATAGCAGTCTGGACAATTGAAGATTCGGAAAGTCCTCCGACCATCAGCACTGCATATATGTCTGCCATTTTCTCATTTGAGAATAAGCCGTCCACCATTTTAACCAACCCTTCCCCGTCTTCTCCTTTCAAGCAAGCATCGAAAAACTTATTAAATGTTTCATCTGGGAATGTTATTTTCCCTCTTTTTATCGAAACATCTCCGATTTGTTCGCTCAACAGACTTGATAGTCCTTCAACTTCACGTATGCATTCTGGCAGCGTCAGTGATATTTTTTCTCTAGATTCGTGTTTATAGCTTCTTTTCTGTATTTCAAATCTGTTGAAAAATTCATAGATTTCATCTCTATATTCCAGCTTAAGCTTTTTCCATGTCTCTGTTCCTAAGCATTTACTCCAGAAATTCTCAAAGGCTTCATCAACTTTTCTGCCACCCCATGGTCCGCCAGTTGCTTTGTATATTTCTTTTAATGTGTTTTTACCTTCAGTTGTCGTAACTTGATACGTCGTTATATCCACAGTACCACCTTGAAAAATAGTACAAATTAGATTGTTTATTGTGTAAACGTCAATTTATTATTAACCTGAACATAATTTAGAACAAAATAAGTTTTAAATTTCGGAATTGATAATTAAAATAATATTCCTTAATAATTCGGGAAAATTGATGTAAACATGATGTTGGCTCTTCTAATTGTTTTGAACAAAAACATATTTATTATGCAAATTAAGGGTAGGTATCTATGATAAATGATTAAAAGTTTTTTTAGCTGTTAGAATATTTTTTCTCCCTATTTATAATTCTTAGAATGTACAAAAACAGTGGAAGAGTTAACTTTTGCATGTCCATAGTTGCAACGAAATTCTATTTTTATACTGAAATGAAAAAGAAAAACAAAGATTATAATTTTAAAAAAATGATAAACCCATTGGGTGCTTTTAAGCATAATGTAAAAATGTTATATTTTCAAAAGATGATTTTTTTATTAGTTGATTGGAACTAGATTGCAGTAACTGCGAGTACTCTCAGATCGGTACTTTGTGTCTTTAGTGTTTTTGTTAGTTATGGCACCCTCAACGGAGTTGGGGTGACGTATTGTTATTCTACGTTTCTTTTTTTCCTTTTTATTATTCTTCCACACATTTTTATCCGCGCTAGTTCTCAGAATTTAATGGACCAATGTTGATGGAACTCTACTATAATGAGTACCCTCATGTGAAGTTGTGCACCTGACTTTGGAATGGTTCAAAATGGCCACCGTTTTCATGGAAACCATTTAAATGTAAAAAAAAATCAAAAATCCAAATCTTTTATTATAAGACCTTACTGGATGAAACTTTATGAAAATGTTAGTTCGTATGCCTAGATGATTTTTCAGTTTTTAGAAATTCCAAAATTGCCGCCATTGTCATGGAAACTGGGCGAAAGTTTAACATTGGCCCTATGGGAAAACACATTAAAGCTGCATTTTCTTAAAGAATATAATATTAAACCCAATGCAACTTTATTGGTATGTAACATGTAATGGGTCAGAGTGGTATTTGTCTTTGGAATTTGGAAAATGGCTACCGTTACCATGGAAACTACAAAAATTTCAAAATGCACCAAACTTTATGAAACTTTACAGAAATGTTAACTGGCATGTGCATAGTTGATATATGATTTTAGAATTTTCAAAATGGCCGTCGTTACCATGGAAACACCCAAAATGTCAAAATTTTTCGAAATGCTTCAAACTCTCTGAAAATTTACAGTAATGGTAACTGGCATGTGTAGATGCGATGTTCGACTTTTGAATTTTAAAAATGGCTGCCGTTACCCTGGCAATGAGGGGACGAGGGTGCCATCCGTTATTGCTCGCAATTACAAATCTAGTTGTTTTTGTTCTTTGTATCGATCGGTGCTGTTACAACACACTTTCCCAGGTTAGTGGGATTGGATGGAGACATGTTTAACTCCGCCACATTCTGTATTTGTCTGTACAAAGTCAGTAACCTGTAATCAGTGGTTGTCGTTTGTTGCTGTATATCATATTTGTTTTTCGTTTGTTGTTTTCGACATACATCATGCCGTTGGTTTTCTCATTTGATTTGTTTAAATTTCAATATTTATTTTTTTTTTTTGCAATAGTAAGATTGAATCCTTAATTCAACTATGGACAGACATAGAAGCTTTTACTTTGGTTTGAAAACAACACTGATAGAACTTGTACCTCCTAAATCTAGAACCATGATTTTCCGTCCATTGTCAAACGTCTTTAAGCTTACGGAAGTTTCTTCATTCCTCTCTAAGGCTAAATAGTTACAACACAATGCTGCAGACTCTGGTTCTAATGTGATCTCCAATTTATCTTCAGCTATCCCTGCCTGGAGATGTTAAAAATAATACATAAATATATTTGACCAAAATAATACCTTTTGATTCGTAAACAATAATTATTATATGGTATTCAAATAAAGTGTTTTTGTTTATCTTGTGTGTGTTATATCTTTAGAAAGCATCTGCTTTGCATATATTTTGTCATATCCGACAGTTAGTGTCACACAGAATTTCACTCTTATGAAAAAGTTAACATTACAAATTGAGACAGTTTCTTTATGACTAAATCTATTACAAAGTTGGGGATCAATTTGTGATAAGCTAAAACAAATCTGTACCAAATTTAGCTAAGGCTATTTATGGCTGGGGTAGAAACACCGTAGTGTTTTGAATTATTTGAACATTTTAGGCAGCGTAAATTTACAGAAAATGAACACATTATATGTCATGTCAACAGAATTGCTGATTACTGGGTGTTGATACTTTCGGGGACAAAAACGGAGAAATAAATATTGAAGTATTTTTGTTACTGTTTGAAATCATTAACGTCATACAAACTGAACATAGATCTTGTCATGAGAATTTAATACCCATAACAGATAAGATAATGCATTGGTGACTTAGTTTGGTCTTTTTGTTTCATCGAGGTATTCATTGAAGAAGGGTGTTGATATTCGAAATTAGTAATGGGCTTTAAAGGGAAACTTCGCAAAAAAATGAAAAATTTATATTATGTTCATTATGTATGAAAAAGCACAAATTCATAAATATTAAAGTTTTATTCTGCAAAATAAGAGATCACCATCGATTTTAAATTTAGAGTATCAATTCTCCGCATGCGGCCATTTTGACATCCTCCCGGTTTAGAAACCACGATATATCTATAAACCACAAAGGACCAAAACAAGCAGTAACCTAACGTAGCCGTAATTGAGTGTCGAAATCTTGTCAAGCGTACGGTTGTTTTATCCGACAAGGAAAGTATAAACAGTTTCCCGGGTCACAAAAGAGATTATAATAGACGAATGTAGGACAGAAAGTCACAGGACAAAAAGTCACAGACAAAAAGTCACGGACAAAAAGTCACAGGACAAAAAGTCACAATTCAGTTTTGAGATTTTTTTTCTTTAAACAAGAAAACACTAATTTAAAAAATAAAATTTTTGTTTTTTCTTGAACTATTATATATGAAGCAACTTTGTAATTAAAATCTATTCAATAAATATCAATAATGATCAAATAATTGTTATGAAAACAAAATGTCAAAGTGGCTTGGTACTTAAATGGCTTCATTGTGCCAAGAAATATATCCTTTGCATGATTAAAATTTGATAATTTTTCATTTATCAAGGCTTATGAACAATTTCCTAAACATAAAAATGAATATATGTAATAAAAAGAAAATATTTCAAGATCTTTCTCTTATATATTCAAACAATTGTCAACAAATTATTTGTGACTTTTTGTCCTATCAAATTTGTGACTTTATGTCCTGTGACTTTTTGTCCTGTGACTTTCTGTCCGTTTACCTAATAGACATGGTTGTGCAACCTTTCCTAACTAACTTGATACAGAAAATGTAATTATATATATTTTTTATTTAAATAACTAGTACAATGGTCTGCCGTTTTGCCGTTTTGAAACTTTTTTTTTACTAAGTTTTTGAAACAAGAAATTTTAATGGAAATTAGTTAAAAAGTCAAAGTTCAAAGTCATAAATAAGTGTTCCGTGTAAAATTGTTTTCGAAAATCTAGTTTGTTCATAATTCATTTATATAATAAATTTATTTAAATAAATTCGGCCCTTCCCGTATCTGATCACCAGCATGGCTAAAGGAATTGTTCCCAGAGGTATTGTGAGGTGACACTTCCAGGTATTCAAGCGATTTCCTGTCGGGCTTTAAAACTCTTATTAATTACACAATTACATAAAGCAAGTTCGTGCATCACTTCACTTCTGAGGGAATTGATCAGTGTACACGGCCGATAATTTGTAACTTTCAATTTTGAAACTATCAGGTGTAATATACATCTTAAAATTTGTCCTGCGTGTCCGATAGTTATATACTAGTCATTACTAAAATCATACGCTTGTTTATACATAACATTTCTGGTGTAAAGAATGATATTTATGAAAATCTAAATAATTACAAAAAAAGATTTGATAAAATAAAAATCTATTTACATATTTTCCACGGGAAATTTTAAATGGGGAAAATGTAAGTATATACTCGTTATCAATAATTATGGACATTTTGAAACATACAAATATTGATTTAACAAGATGAACGCACTTGTCGATCATTGGTTTATACGCCTAGATAGAAAGTTACGGTACTATAGATAGTCGCAATTTAGAATATATGCATGAATATTGAATATACGAGAGAAACATCCAGAACCAATCTGATTTAAATACAGGTCGCGATATCTAACTTGCTTTGGTTCATCGAAGTTATGGACATAGTAAAATCATAGATTTATATTTCAATTAGATTATTTCAAACAGTTTTAGAAATTCGTCACCATCAAAATTGTTGGGTATAATGTATAATAATGTGAACATGGTTCTAATAGTACCTTTATGTCAATTTTCCTGTTCCGACATGCATGTAATTATATGTATGCCACTGGACGTACACTAATGATCCCCAAAAAGCCTATTTGAAGAAATAAAGAAACTTCTCTCCGGATAGACTGATAGTAGTTGTATTAACGTCTGGTCAGCTAGATGGTTGATTAATTTATTTAGTTAGCTTGTGGGGGGAATAAACCATTCCTAATATTGCACTTATGCATAAAATATTAAATGAGAGTAATATAAGAGAAAATATAAATACGAAAAGTCGCATATCTGGTAGAAAAATTCTCACCATGAACTATAGGATTTTACGTGGGATTGTCATTCTTAATCGAAATAACGGACAGTCATTTTAATACATGCATGTACGCTGTGATGAAAAGGGGTGTCACAGTTGCCTTGCATAGTATTCATCATAAATCTATTTCAAGTTTATACTTTCCTGTTATTTTTATAAGTTAACGCAGAGACATGTATGCATCTCGAATTAACGACAATCAACTATATAAATATCTGAATCTGATGTGACTTACCGTTCATCTCTTTCTTTTTTCTCCTTTTTTTTTTTGGATTTTTGCATGAATATATACATTGTAAGATATACTGTTCCCAGGTTGGGAGAAGGGGGTGGGGGGTTTGGCGGTCATGTCTATCGAAAGTTATAAAATAAGAACGTTGTATTTATGAATTTACAAATTTACAAGAAGAATTCTGTTCTTGGACGTAGTTTTCTCCTTTTTTTTAGTTCAGTGATTTAAATTCAGAGAAAAAAAATCTAGTCAGAATTTAAATCGTTCCGGCGATCCCCCACCTAAGACGCCTCTAAAATCATAAATGGTCATGCTTTACAATCATCAGAATTTTCTTTTCATCGGTACATTCTTTATCGGTAGTGATTAACCTTGACATTTCTGGGTTTAAAAGAGCTACTTGTATATTACCTGTATGTGGTTAGGTGACGTCCCATGAGGTCTTACGTATACAGGTTCACATTTATAAAGGTTTCTGATATAACAAGGTTTTATGACATCCACACTTCTGCATGTTCTGTATACCAAATTCTTATTTCATTTTCAGACCGAATGAGGATGTGAATATTTTCCAGGAAAAATATTGAGTATCAAATTAATTTCGGGATTTTCTACTTTCTTGCAAGGACGTATATTAGAGTTGTTAGTTATACGTCCTTGTTTCTTGGTATTAAATCACAGAAATTTAAAGAATATGTTGCTTGTCCGCATTAGGCGTATTCTTGTCAGTTTAAACAGACGTATATATATGTAGATATGTCTCTGGTTTATAGTAGGTTTATAAATGAGGGAAAGGCACATTGAAAATTGATTCCGCCGGTCTGTCTCCATTTAAAAAAGGAAAGTTGACGTTAGATTGATTCTGTTATTTTTTTTTAAACATCGTTGGTCAAATAGCTAAAGTATTTATACGTTGTGAGATTTAGAATATTGTAATAAAGGCATTCCCAATTAGGTAATTGTAGATACTTTGGACAAACAAAACCATATTAATGTAACTGATAATTTTCTCTGCACATTTAAATATTCAAGGTTTATACCGATGATAATTCAAAATAGTACAGTTTTGATTTATACGATGGTTTCGTGGGCCATTTTTATTTATAAAATTATTTAATTGAAAGTAATTCAGAATTTTGATGTTACAACAAAATACTCATCTATTTATTTAAAAACTGAGCTAACGCAAAATATTAAAATAAAAAAATTTTTTAACGGCGATTCAGGTATTTTGCCACCATATTCCTCCCCAAATAATTATTTAAAAAAATCTGTCTCAAACCCGCACTTCGGTTTTATCCTTTTTTTTTTCATACCTGCAACGGTGAACCCTTAAGGCCAAACAACACTCTAGTGAAGATCAAAAGATTGAAATTACATAATGCTAATCTTTTAATTATCGTGAATTTAACCACGCCTTTACCAGGTAGTGTCAGTATAATACACATGTATGCATTGTATTTACGCAATACTAGACCGAAGCAAGGATTTGTATAGTAAGACAAATCATCGACTGAAATATTAGGTGAGAATACAAACTTGTATTTTATTACACTATCCGTTATATATGTTTGTTCAACATATCCGTCGGGGAAAAAACATCAAAACATTCTATTGTATGATTTATTTTTATTACTATAAATATATCATAAATCCTTAAAATATAAATCGTACATTTTAATTTTAAAGTTGCACGGCTGATCACTTTTCTTTCTGAATTATTAGTTGGTTAATAGCTACGCCAAAAGTCGTCGATGCGCTTTAAATCGCGTTATTAGATGATTAACGAACAAGACTTAAAATGAGATTTATCCACTCCCGGCATGCAAAAAGACTTAAACTACGTCACAGAAGTCAGGAAGTTCGAATAAATAAAATTAATAATTTCCAATTTTCTTCTTTATTAATGTTCATATCCAGATAAAACTTGGTGAATATGATTTTTATGGTAATATGAACATAATAAGATGATAAGTAAAAAATCGCGAATTTTCCCTTTAAGTGCAGTAAAATTTGTACCGTTAATGTTATTAAATGATTATCACTATTATTATAATTTAGTTACCTACTTTTGATTATTGTTGCTTCGCTTTGAGACATTTTCATTATATTCATTTTAAATCAAATGTTCGTTTACTATATAGCTTTCCATTGCAATCCGAATTAAGATTGAAAATGAACTTTATGAATATTAAGTTATGTATTTTACTTACAACCTCTTTACTTGCATACACCATAAACTGTTTTGCAGATTCACTCCATATAGCAGGAAGAGTTACAATCCATTTAACATCTGTTTCTTTAATAACACATGATTTCAGAAGTTCCTCTAATGCTGCATCTTTTAAAAATTTGATTGCTTCTCCAAATACTTTATAAGCTGGCATCTTGTTACCACTTTCATCTGGTATCTTCATATTCTTCCGTAGTGACTAAAATGTATGTCAACAAAGATATTTTGAGAGTGTAGACATTTATAAAATAAAAAGATGTGACAGGATTGCCAATCGGACAAAAACCCGAAACCTAAGATGTTTGCAACTATAGGTCGTCGTTCGGCCTTAAAAAAAGCATCATACACAAAGCATAGAACAATAACTGAAATCTACTAAATTTAAAGTAAGTAAGTTTCACAAAGACTTTAGTTGACATTTATGATTTAAACTATGATAACGTAACAAATTCGTGTTTTCTATCTCTACAGTATAAGTTGGTAATCATTCTAAAACTAGACGCATTGAATATTTGCCATTTCGTAATTTATAATTTTTTTTTTGTATTTACATGTTAAAAAAGTGGTATTTGGAGTAAACGTCAAACGGACAACGACCCAACGACAGAATAAAAAGAACATGCCTGCATAAATGTTCGATGTTTGTAATTTATTTGTGAGTGGTTTTCTGTAATGTAATTCCACAATGTAATCAACACGATGATTGGCTAGGACACCGTCTCATTCACTGGTTAATCATTTATATTACGTCCTGTTGTATTGATAGTTGTATGTTTAAAATATGTGAGCGTAGCTATAGGGTATCCTATCTGTGCGCAATGTAGGTATTATGTATTTAGGTTTTGGTACACATGTGTGCGTCTCGATTTAAAATGGTCGCATATACTTCTTATACTTTTTTTGCAACACAATATATACAAATCGAAACTTTTGCATTTATAATTTTTTTGTGTTTTTCTTTGAAATGGGCGTGCAAATATATATATATATATATATATAGCTATAGTTAGAGGAGGGGAAAAGGCGTCTGCGCAATACTAGGCGGTGTTGTCGTAGAAGTGAGAAGTGTAAAGTACAGGTTCCAGCCCAGCTCGGGGAGGAAGTAAAGAATGAGATCTACTCTAACATTGTAAGGTTGATTTTCTAGGCACTTAAGCTTCAGTCAAACATTCAGAATGATTGCTGCTGTCCTAGATAGAACCATTCCGGATTTAGATTTGTCAAAAGTTTCATCAAGATCCTTTGATTCGTGGCTGCTGTTGAAAAATACAAACACTATGAACTATCCGATAATCAATTATACCTCTTTCTTGCATGACAAAGAAATAAACATACAGACGTATTAGTATTTATTTAATCAAAATTTCTGCCTGAAGGAAATCAGGAAAGCATTACATAATAATGTGTTTACCGTAATAATTCAAACATCAGTGGCATTTGCAAAATGTTAAACATTTGAGAACGTATTCTCCGAGCTTACAAGGAGTTGTAATCTACACTTTAGTACAGTAACATTAGTTATCAACTGAAAATTTACTAATAAAATACTTTGAAGCATGCCAAAACCGAAGGACCTACTTCAGTTTAAACATATTTTATTTGATCAAGTACAAATTGGATAAGACACAAGTCAAACAGACTTATGAAGTCTTCTCCATTTAACATTTATAGCAATATAATACAAAATATATGTATGAGCATGCATGTATAGAATGGTATATCTATTTAATATATACATATCTATGAACGTTGTTTTCAATTTAGACTTGTTTATATATATATATATATAGAGATTTGCACAACGATACTAATATAAGATGGTATTATACGAAGATGTTGTTAATAAATAGTGTTGACAAATATTTCGGCTTAACAAATAGCCTTCTTCGGTGTCAATTATTTTAACAATACTGATAATATGTATAAAAATTGCTCAATTTGACTTATTGATAACGTAACAAATTCGTGTTTTCTATCTCTACAGTATAAGTTGGTAATCATTCTAAAACTAGACGCATTGAATATTTGCCATTTCGTAATTTATAAATTTTTTTTTGTATTTACATGTTAAAAAAGTGGTATTTGGAGTAAACGTCAAACGGACAACGACCCAACGACAGAATAAAAAGAACATGCCTGCATAAATGTTCGATGTTTGTAATTTATTTGTGAGTGGTTTTCTGTAATGTAATTCCACAATGTAATCAACAAGATGATTGGCTAGGACACCGTCTCATTCACTGGTTAATCATTTATATTACGTCCTGTTGTATTGATAGTTGTATGTTTAAAATATGTGAGCGTAGCTATAGGGTATCCTATCTGTGCGCAATGTAGGTATTATGTATTTAGGTTTTGGTACACATGTGTGCGTCTCGATTTAAGCATTGACTCATTGAGCTATTTTTATACATATTATCAGTATTGTTAAAATAATTGACACCGAAGAAGGCTATTTGTTAAGCCGAAATATTTGTCAACACGATTTATTAACAACATCTTCGTATAATACCATCTTATATTAGTATCGTTGTGCAAATCTCTAGACTTATATAATTTTTTTCCTTATCTGCACAGTATCGTCTATTCTAGACGATCCGGTACATAGTAAATTTGCTGGTTGGTCCTTTTTAGATAGACTTCTATATATATATATATATATATGGATTTATGTCAAAAGACAGAAAGAAAACAATAATACAGAAAAAATAAATATATAAAAATAAATAAATGAATATTTAGAAAACAAAAATAAAAAATAAAATACAAATTAAACAAAAACAAAAATGCAAAAAAAAAAGGAAGACTTTTACTTAGATGATGATGTGTGTGCGATCATGGTTTGCTATCTAGACAATTAGAAATCTTTCCGAACTTTTAATAAACTCGAAGACATTTTTGAAAATGGTTTGGTTTTGCTCTAGAGAAAGAAGATAACTACCCGAGGTTAGTAGTTCTATGTCAATTTTACAATCTTTTGGAAGCCAGCGCAGACTTTCAAACATTTTATTTCGTATGTCTGAATATAATATACATTTAAAAAAGAAATGATAGGAATCTTCACGATTAACACCACAGCGGCAAGAAGGGTCAGAAATAATATTGACCCTATATAGATCATAGTTTAAGGATGATGCAAAACATCGAAGTTGGGTTAGAATAATATTCAGTTTTCGAATTCCAAACTCATATTGCTTCGGTACAAATATGTTACTCTGAGAGTAAAGTTTTTTTTAGTTCAGTTTTAAATTTTAAAACACCTACTCCTTGGTGGTTTATTTCCTCAGGGATTTGTATTTGACCACGAATGTACTACAAATGTCCACGATCGAAGAGAAGGAAAACTTTCACGGACATATTAAAACAATGATTTTTTTTTATAGAAAAACATGTATAATACTTTTAGTACTACTCCCTTTTGTGGGAAAAGCTTCATTGGGTACACTCAGGATCGAAAGTTTTGCATGTCAGAAATCAGGAGACTTTGTTGCTTCTGTCATAATTATTGTTTTTCGTTTATCATTTTAGCATAAATCATGCCGTTGGTTTTCTCGTCAGAATTGGTTCTCATTTTGTGATGCGGGTGTCGTTATTCCTTGGTAAAAACGCAAAAATCCTCCCCTTACCTGTGGCAGTGGTGATGTAAGAGCACAACTTAAGAAAAAAACTTTTAAAACATCTGTTAGAAAGGTCTTAACTCATCAGATCAGTTCTAAGCACAACAACGACTAACGGAAAGATAAAAGATGCAAAGTACCGATCTAAGAATACTCGCAGTTAACGAAAGTTAGACTATTTAGTAAAATCAAACTTCTTCATTTGATTTGTATTTTTGTTCTTCAAAGAATATGTCATGCCATTTTTCATTTGTTTGCAGTGTGTGATTTTGTAAGAAACAAGAATGTGTCCATAGTACATGGATGCCCCACTTACACTATAATTTTCTATGTTCAGTGGACCGTGAAATTGGGGTAAAAACTCTAATTTGGCATTAAAATTAGAAAGATCATATCATAGGGAACAGGTGTACTAAGTTTCAAGTTGATTGGACTTCAACTTCATCAAAAACTACCTTGACCAAAAAATGTAACCTGCCCACTCGCACTATCATTTTCTATGTTCAGTGGACCGTAAAATTGGGGTCAAAACTCTAATTTGGCATTAAAACTAGACAGATCATATCATAGGGAACTGGTGTACTAAGTTTCAAGTTGATTGGATTTCAACTTCATCAAAAACTACCTTGACCAAAAATTTTAACCCGAAGCGGGACGGACGAACGAACGGACGCACAGACCGAAAAACCTAATGCCCCTCTACTATCGTAGGTGGGGCATAAAAATATGACTAAATGTTTTTTCGATTTTTTTTATCCAAGGTAGGGTGGAAATTATCCCAGTAACTAATGCCATAATCGTGTATATGTAATGTTATTTTCAGTGTTTATCTGGCCTTATCAAATAAATAACACTATAAATTAATTTGAAAAAAGGTAGTATCTTTAAAATATGGGGGGAAAAACAATATTTTTTTTAGATGTTTTATCGTGTGTACTTCAGTTAATTAAAGTTAAAATGATCGTGAATAATTCGACTGAAATATCGAAAAACAAAAAATTTACTGAAGAAATTCGTTCAAATCATTTAATCATTTAACTTAACAAACTTCTAAATTGTTACTAAAATACCAAGAAATTTCGAGTTCTCTAAGGAAGCTACCATTTGATTTTTAGTGGGGGGGGGGGGGGGGGGGGGGGGGCTAGGATGAAATTTGAAAAAAATAGGCAGGACAGGAGTTTTGAGTAAAAAAAAAAGGCAGGATGACAATTTAGGTAAAAAAAAAGTCAGGATAAACTTTAAAAAAAAAGGCAGGACCGAATAGAGGGGAAAATAAAAAGGCAGGCCAGGGTATCAACTAAAAAAAGAGCAGGACAAAATTTTTCATCCTAGCCCCCCCCCCCCCCCCCCCTAAAAATCAAATGGTAGCTCCCTAAAATATTACACAAACCTGTTCTCCATATAACGCCATTTTAAAGTATGGAAAGTAATAGTATTCCTTTGCTTCATCGACACTCATTCTTGCATACTTATTCTCAGCATCATATCCAAAAGCAACAAACTCTTTCTTTTGGTTCAATAGAATAATTGATTTAGTCTTATACAGTGTTCCCAGCTCGCCAACATGCCAATGCTTGCAAACAACACGCAAAGGGTTTATTTTAAAATCATTTCTTGTCAGAAATGCGAATCCTGAAAAAGAAGTTCCAATGTCCAAAGCAACAGAAACAAGTACCCCTGTGGATTGAACATCCAACTCTGATGGTGCTGCAATTATTCCAGACATCTGGGTCGATGACTTATAACTGGTCCTGCATAAAAAAATTTAATAAGAGCAAAGCAGATACAAAAAGGCAACAGGTGCTTCCCTTTATTATACGCCTGAATTTGTTGAAATTCTTTAACATTTTTTTTTAATTCTTTTAAAATATATTTTTTAAGCTTTTTTGATTTATTGAATAAGAGTGGTCCAGTCGAAACAGTTTTAAAACTTTGTAATAGTTTTCCGTAAAATTATATATGAGCAACAATACCAAAGAAGATATCTAAAGGAGAAGGAATAACTAATCCAGCCACATGTTTCTGTCCCAAAATGACAAACATCGTCATTGGTTATCTTCAGTTTTATCCTAAGTTTTTGTTTTCAGGGTAAATCGGTATTTATTGTACAATGTTGAATGTCTCCTGTTTAGATTTATTCACATTTCCTTCTAGACTTGGGAGTTTAAGAAGTTGACATATTGTATTGAGACTATTGTTGAAGACCTATATTGACCGCTGATTGTTTGTCATTGGGTTACCGTCTCATTTACGTATACCTATAATCTGTCTCGTTTTTTATGTCACGAAAATATCTTTAACTTTATTGGAAATAAATAGGTGTTATCGAAATTTTACTTCCTAGTCTTGGAAATACATTGGAAATCAGTACTTTTAATATTTCCTACTAAAATTTTTGATAACATTTTTAAATAAGAGAGAAAAATAACGCCATAGGAACATATTTTCCATAACACAAATTGCTAAATAACTAAATTACTTACGTTGACAATTGATATTGAGATAGGAATGGACATTTTTGTTAGTTCCAAAAATAGATTATTAGTTTATCTGATTTAAAAAAAGGTTTGTAGTTACCTTACACGGCAATTTCTGAATGAATATATATTTGCCGATGAAATCTGATGCTGGTCAACTACTCACCATTAACAAAAGAGTAATAAAACAAAGATATAATAAGATCTTTCCAATTTACTTCCTGAAGTTAGATAGTAGATTGAATAACCTATTTATGAATGATATGCAATCGATATGACTGTGTAATGTCAAGTGTGCTTATAATTTGTTATTTGTTTTCAAATAGAGCTCATGTCTACTATGTAAATTTGTACATGTCATGCTCGACTCTAAATAAATGTACATTCTACAAACGTTATGTTATTTGAAAAACAAAAGTATGTATTATTAGTTACATATACATTCCACCACTGCATAAAGTGTGTTACGATATTTATCCACTAGAGACAGTTAAATTTTAATATTTAAAGCGCGAGGCTTGTCGAGCTTTTACATGTAAAATAATTAAAATTTAACTGTTGAGAGTGGAGAAAATCGTAATACACGAGTTATAGTGGTGGAATCTGTTTCTCTAATGAATTTTAGACGATCTTAACAAAGTGTATCCTTCCTTTTCAAAGATTTGCAGAAATTTGTGTTCTTTATGTGTGACGCCGTCATCAGGCATGGTCGCGTTTTTTCATGAGCTCACAATAGGAAATTCAGAAGAAACCAAGAAAAGTTGTCGTCATAATTGAATTTCTACCAATAATTGGACGAGAACAAAGTTTTCTTTAGAGATGAGAAATATTTTTCTCACACCAATCGAGAAATGTGATAAAAGAATGAAAATTAGAGAGGACGTTATTATTCGTGTAATTGCAATTGAGAAAATCCTACCTCATTATCTGCTTTAATAATTTGCACGTATTTAACCAATATTCTGTACGACTTGAAGCAGTTTGAAGAACAGGGCAGTGTCAAAAACAACAAAGTCAACATTAAGTTGTATAAATTTTACCACCCGGTATAATTTCAACTGCTGTAACATTTATCTGTCTTCTTAGTACCACTGCATGTTCTTTGTAATATGTGAACACTTACATATATGTTTGTGAAATAAATAAAGCATTTTAAACCAAAGTAAAACTTTCTGGAACTTAGGAAACATTGCATATAAATAAACGGATATATATATATGAAGGGTTTCCACTTTATTTTCTGTCATTCGAGTGTCAATTATATAATTATAATAATTACATGATTACGAGCTTGAGCAATTTATTTTGAATTCGACGTTATAGTCAAATGTATCGCCATTCAATAGTATTTATGCAACTAACTATTCAAGAGCCATTTTTGTCATTCTTAAATTCCTTAATGATTACTGTATATTAGATTCAGTCCTATTGAAAATACCAGAATCCCAGTACCTACTTATTTGGCATACCACCATTGTGTTTATATGAATATATATGTTTACATTTTCCTACTTTTTGGTAAGTGTGGTAAAAAACAATGCATCTTATTAGATTGTTATTCTTTAAAAGTTGGTTCCATCTACAATATATGCTCCAGGTGTTGCTTTAAGATTATATTCAAAACAATAAGTGATTGTTTTCGGCAGAATATAAATGAATCAAGCTTTTCCCCAATAGTTTCTGCTGCTTCGCTAAACACAGGGTTAGACCTTAATTCATTATTATGAAAATAATGGGGTTTTTCAGTTTTGTTTATCTTTGGAAACAATTCAGTGAAGCAAACAAACAGATGTCACCAATTTTCAATGTAAAATTGCTGAAACATACTTGAATCTGAATAAAACCGTAAAAAACTATAATACATAAGATTTTTTCAATAATTTTACATAATAGTGTATTCATATAAAAAATTCATTAAACGCTACAAATTGTTATCCTGACATGTTTTTGAGACAATATTACAAATTTTACATGTTTTTTTATAAACTTAACTTTCGATAGCATATTTGTTTTAGTTCCAAATATATCAATATTTTAGGGCTGAATTCTCAAATTTGCCGAAAATCTAGCAAAAATGTTTGTTTTTGGCCATTTTTTTTATCATTCATACTTTATTTAAATGTGAACACGTACACTAAAATGAATTAAAACCTTCAAGTACAATAGTGAGTTACTGTATATAGTCAGGATTGTATGACTTTTAAGACATGGCACTGGTAGTAAAAATATGTATTGGAAATTGAACCAATCTGTTTGATTGACATCCTAAATTCTACTTTTCACGACCATCAAATCAACCTATCTTAATCACAAATTTTACTGATTTTTAGCTATGTGTAAAATCTTTCTCTCTCTTAGTTCAATGTAATAAATCATGGTCAGAACCTATATCAGGACTTCATGTGAATCCCCTTTGACTTAATCAATTCAACTGGTATTATTGATTGGATAGCCTCTTTATTATATTGTTTTCTTGCCCTGAAGGGAGTTTGGTGATTTTGTTGACGATTTTAGCTAAATTGTCTTCAAATCATTTCTAGACTCGTTTACTTTAGAGTGAGATATATGGTTTAAAAACTTATCTATCGATGAAGACCGTACGTAATGTGCACTTCCAACTTTTTCTGTTGTTGATTTTTTTTTCATTGATGTACATGTATATCCCATATTTTATATTAAACTTATATTAAACAAACAAGAGTGCTAAAAACGAATTCCAAATATAATGTATTACATAAGTTAAAGAGAGGCGGGAGATACCAAGGGATGTTCAAACTAATAAAGCCATGGAAAAACTGTATTCTACCAAACACAATCCTTCTGACCTTTTCATAACGGGAAAATATTAGTAATAAAAAACCAAACATTTTCAATAAGGATGAAAAGAATAAATTATCATCATTATCACGGGATGGTTCAGTTTTAGAGTTAGAGAGATGTACCGGTTTAGGATAAGTGCTTATTCAGAACAAGAATATGAATCTGACCCCTGCTTTGTACTAGACCGACACGCTGAGCCGGTAACGTGCTAGTTTACAAGGTAACACTCCTCGTGATTAGAGGAGAAGCAGCAAATATCCATTTTGAAGTCCTTGGTTTGACTCGGTCAGAGATCGTACCCACGACCTGCAGCGCTGTACCGGTTTGAAGATGTTTTGAAATATCATTCACCATCTGCTATTTTATGATTCGTAATCACTGACACATCAACAGTAACACTACTGATGTCATTACATATAATGGGGTCATTCGGCGAAACTGCTTACCCTTCCGAAGCACGTCAGTTCCCCAAGTATTAACTCTACCACATATACTTGAAATAGGGATTAACACGATACACATACTCATATATATTATTACAAGTACCATCAAGGCTAATTTTCAAGTAGATTTGATAACGGATGCATCAATTGATATGTGTCTGATATTTTCACTTTACGTATAAGGATTATATTTTGAAGTTCTGATTACTTAATTTGTGCAGAAATACGAAAAATACCTACTACAATTAACATTATTTACATTTTCATTAACTGGGTTCGGAAAGCATGATATTGAGGCATACATTCAAGTTTTTTGGTGTTGAAATTTGCACTTTTTGAAAAGATAAGTCTCTATCTTTATTATCGTCGCATTACGACATTTTGAGCTTATTATTTCATTTGGAGCAGCCACTGTTCCTGGCCAATCTTTGCTTTGTGTCGTTAGTGAGCTACGATATCAGTACTATTCTTACTGGCCGGTTGATAACCGTGATTTAGATCCTTGTCTGGCTAATAAAATGTTTTCATTTATTTCTGATCTATTTAAGTAACAAATACTGTTACACTTAGTCTAACATAATCCTCAACATTTGTAATACGTAAGTAACTGGACCTTAATCAAAGCTTTGTGGTTTGTAGGCATGAAATAGTTAACAGATACACAAAGTAGTATTTATAATCTATTTATCGATATCTGGACACGGGAATCTTCCTTCCATTACTCCAAGCTGAACATTAGATACAAAATCAGCAGGTACCATTATGCTGCACATGTCTATGTGCATTTTCTCTTTTATAACATTAACTGTAAACGAAATGAAAGAAGTAAATATCTAAATGTATTGTTATACTAAAAAACGTAAGCATTTCAAAACGTCAATAAAATGAAATCTTTGATATTTGAATAGCTTCAGGCCAATATCTGCAACATGTACGAAGTATTTGATACAGGTACGTATACATTTTGGATAAGGAATATTGTGATATTTACATGCTACATTTCAATGGTGTCCTAAGAAGAACGGAATAGGTCGCTTTTGCTGAAGAACTTTCAAAGACAAAGCCGAAGAAGTCATACCTCGCTTCAAGATCAAAACGGCCAATGTTTGTTAAAAGCATCTAAGCATGAAAATCGTCCTGAACATGCATGACACATTTGCCACTGGATGTTAAGCAACAATCAATCAATCTAATCTAAGCATGAAATAATTATGAATTACACAAATAATCTACTAATACTTTTATTAATTGTTCGACAACACAGTAGTATGATAACGATAAATACAGAATCACAGTGCCCCATCATTATTGTATTATGAAAATGGATTTTGCGTTCGAAAAAGGCCTCACTGTGACTTTGAAATGAAGAACAGCAATAAAAGCGCTGTTCCTTTGCTTATTGTGTGTTTTTTTTTTTTGCTGTGCATGTACTGATTTTGTGTCATGGATGGGTACCCCATATCCTTTGTTTTTCTATTAAATAACACTGTTGTTGACTATTCTTTACCCATTTAAAAGCTCTAAACTTTATCTAAGATAATATTAGAAGAACAGTTTTGAAGGCCGTTCGTTGACATATAGTTGCATATATCTACGTGATTTGGTCTCTGGTAGATAGCCGTCTCATTGGTAATCATACCGCGTCTTCTTATTCTTACATAGTACAACAATGAAATATTCCATCATAACCAACACTCAATTCAATTGTACCTTTACTTTAAGTTTAAGCAGATATAAAGGATAGAGAGAAGGGGAAGATACTATTGTTAAACTGGCCTAAGTTTATCGTTAGTTTAAACTCGTCTATTTCATCCTTTCCTATTTCTAACGATCAATACTATAAACAACTGCTTTCGTGAAATATGATTCGGTGCTTTTATCAGTATTTCAAAATATAATTGATGAAGTAAATATTTTATATGGTGAAAATAAACGATAGTTTTAAGTAACACATTCTGATGAAGGTGTTGTTCAGCTGAATAGCTCAAAAGCTTGATGTCGATATACAGTATCAAGGAATTTCGAGGCTGTAATTGCCTTTGTTTTTTTTTTTTTTTTTTTTTCCAAATTAGTACCAATGTTCACATGCTTTTTTACAAGCTCGGTCAGGTTGTGCAAGTGGACTAAATCATCATTGAATTTTTTTTAAGTTAGCACGAATTGTAAAAAAAAACAAAAAAAAACAGCTAATTTCGAACCACTAACCTGACACTATATATGAGAACGAACGACTCAACATGCGTGGCCCACATTCAATAAAATCTCTCAATGCATAAATATTGGTTTGATCTATTCCTGTCAACAGATTTTCACCCTACAGAACAAATAAATTATTCGCATTTAAATATGAAAAACAGTACTAGCAAAATTATTTTAATAAATAACAATCTACCTCAAAAATAGATAACGGCTATTCAAAACGTATTTCTTAGTTTTCATTTTTGTTTATTTTTTGTTGTATTGGGTACCTGTAACAAATTCAAAGAGAACGCCAACCATAGCAGTATAACACATACAGATTTTGCTAATATAAATGAGATATGCCGCTTTGTCCGACTAATATCACTTTAAGGTAGATGGGGTGTCTAAATTATAATCCATAGAATTTTTTTAATAATTTGCCAAAATGTAGTTTGTATCATGCTTTTTAAAAAAAAATAATAAAAAGAATGGGTCACGGTGCTTATTTTCACGCTACAGGTCGTGCAAAATTGACAGATTTTGTATAGATTATGCATGGAAAACCCAATTTTCTGCCATAAAACTAAAACAACACCATAGAATTTTGAGATAGAATATGAGAATATAGCTCTAATATTATGCTTTCAGATAAGAAAAAGAAAAAAAAGGGGTCACGGGACCAGTTTTCTTGCTACATAATAAAATAGGTAAATTCCTAACACATTCTATTGTAATAGTAACTTTATCTGAATTATCTGCCCTTATATTTGAGTTGCCTCCCCTTATGTGTCAAAGTTGGAAAAAAATGAATCAAACAAAAGCATTCTGTTTTTTGTAAAATACAATCATACATATGATAAAACATGTCATTTTCTATATTGAAAGGAAAATTCTTACACATGAATTACCTACTACTCTCAAAATTTGCACATTATATTAAAGATCTAGACCTCTTGTTTTCTGGTATTTCAAAATCCAAGATGGAGGAAGACACCCTATCTACCTTAAACGACTAAAATTGATGAAAAGGCACACAATGTTTTAAGTAACATATCTTTATATACAACTTTTAATACTGTTAGAATATGATACAACATTTATTTGTAAAGGTGTTTCTCTTTACGAGCTGCATAGGAAAACTAAAAAAATTAGACAAAATGCACGCACATCGGTAAACAAGTCAGATACAATTTCTATTGGAATGTCTCATGGCATAACAAAAATGAGACAAAAACGATAAGCAACAGTAATTTGACTGAATTTTCGCAGTCATGTGACTCCAATGTTGCTGATAGATTTTGAGTCAAACCGTGTGTAAGGTTAATTGCTTTCAAACTGTATAAACAGTTATAAAGAAGCATTGAACGGTCTAATATGGGATGACTCTAAGCAAATGAAACCGGGATATAGATGTTTAAAAAATAACTAAAATAAATAAACGATCTTTATTTAAAGAGGATAACTGCATGATACAACTTTTCCTCCTGAGGGTTATGAAGTAATAAGTACACATTAAGTACATAAAATAGTACATGTTGTAAGATAAAGAGATATATATAGTGGACCATTAACTGATTCTGATTATAGATATGAACATATATTAAAATAAATGATATGTAAATGTACGTCAAAGTTCTATCTATGACGTATGTTACCTTCAAAATACGTTTGACATCAACAGTATATTTGACATATTCTTCTGTGGATCTCCTAGTATCTGCCCACATTACATCAATCAACTGTACATCTACTTGTACAACTATAAAAAAGCAAATAAAATATAATTCTGAATAGAATTACCCTTACAGCTTGCATATTCAATTAAATTCAAAATTAGATGGTATCTCTTAAAATAATCAGTAACTGCTGTAGGAAATTACAACCAATTTGGATGATTTTAACGATTGTTGTTTTGATTTCTCAAGGCCATCGAACACTGAAGCCGTTATGGGGCAGTGTAGGTAATATCAAATTAAAACGATTCTTATATAAATATAGTGGACAATTAAATTATATACACAACCTTTACCATACGTGAATTAAGGCTCCAAAGAATCTTATCTCACTTGGCTTTTGTGCATTACTCTGACATTTTCATTGCATTTATCATTTAGATCCTGAATATTCATGAATAGTTCCCCTAATAAATAAGCAGCAATCAAACTTTGGTATAATTCTCCTCTTTTTTTAATCAATCAATATGTCTTGATTTGCTCTAGAGCAACATAATGAGCAAGATATTTATCTTCCATGATCACAAGGGATTAAAATTTTTACTTGAAAGGTCTGTCAGATACATTATTCTGACTTTGAGCGAATCATGTTTCGTTTTGCTCCTAAAAGCAACAAATTCTTTTAAAATATTACGGTTAACTCCAGGAAGAGGTTAATTATCGTCAATATAATTATGTCCTAACTTGTATCAAGGACTTTCCTACTTTCCTATTAGGCCGAGCATGCCAATCACGATATCGTTACTTTTGTACTCTTTGAAGTCCATCTGACAAAACAAGAGTTCTACTCGTATGCCAAAAACAAACTAACTGATCATTGAACGAAATATTCAAAGATTATCTAGGTTTTATTTTCTTTCGTAAAACAGGTCTTTTAACGTAAAGCTGGAAGCACAACAGACTGTCTAACAAATAATTGCTTGTCCACGGCAATCAGCTGACACAACAACAATTTAAGTTGACATATTATATCGGTCACGATATGAACATCATGCAATATACAATAGAAAAGCATCTTTGTGGAAAAATTTCACGGCGAAACTAATATATGAGCGACATGAGGACCAAAAAATTTCAAAAAGGTATTAATTTTTAATTTCGAAAAATTAATTCCTCTACGATATAAGACATAAAGCTTTATTTAAAGTCGGTAAATGCAATACAATTACAAACATTAGATCTGAAGAGTTTTTAAAATCGAAAATCAAAAGCACAACAAACAAAACATATATATCAAGTCATACACACATACAATTAAACATAGAAAGCAAGAGTTCACATTATGCATACATTCAACACAATAGTTCTATCAAGCAGTTTAAACACACACACTACAAGCACTTATGGGGTAAAAACACAAAAGTACAAGTAAAAGGGTGTGCAACATAAAAAAAAGCACATAGAGATTAGTTAAGTAACTAAAATAAGCAAAAAAGGCCGATTCTAAAGCACTATAAGTAAACAAAAAAAAAACAAAAAAAAAATTGAAAAAAACCATGCTGAAAATAAAGCAATTAACAAAATGAAATACAATAAACAGACTTCTTTTGCTGGTCTAAAACAAGAGCGGGAAAATAATAAAAAACTAGCAAGAAATCGAATTGATATGGGCAAATATTTAGCCATAAACACACCACGAAAAAGCAGGAGAGAACGGTGCAACACATACTCATAAAGTTAAGATTTTTTAGATTATCAAGCTTAATGTGCTTCTCAGCATAGTAAATAGTAAATTTTCATTTTTGCTCATAAGGAATGTCATGACACCGTGTAATGTAAGTACTTACCAATTTTTTCAAGACACATATTAATAGGAATGTTTTCATCAGCAACATCAACGAATTTGTTTTTGCAATTGCATCGTTTTAGGGTTGTAGCATTACATACATATAATCCAAAACTGAAGTGCAATAAAAATTTGAAGAACATTTTAACCGTCAGTGCAGAACAAACGATAGAATAATTCCGGCAACTGATGTTAATTTATTTTAGATATCTCTGTCCTGAGGGTTTACAATAGGTTAAATGTAATAACGACATATGGAAAACACGGTGTGTTTGTCTGCAACGTGTCCGCTATTACCTTAATTTATGTCATTTAAATGTACATGATAGTGGTAAATTGTTTCGGCAGCTGTGTGTACTTTTGAAGTTCTAATAGCCTTTTGAAGTGTTTCTGAGCATGTAACTGCTTTAAACAGCTATCGTTATATCTAAGAAATTGTAATGCGTTGATTATAACTGTGTAAAAAACAGTCATTCAGAGGTTGTCGTTTGTTGCTGTGTAACATATTTGTTTTTCGTTCATTATTTTGTACATAAATTAGGCCTTTAGTTTTCTCGTTTGAATTGTTTTACATTTGTCATTTCGGAGCCTTTTATATCTGATTATGCGGTATGGGCTTTGCTCATTCTTAAAGGCCGTACGGTGACCTATAGTTGTTAATTTCTGTGTCATTTGGTCTCTTGTGGAGAGTTGTCTATTATTTTGAAAACCATTATGAATAGAGAAAATCTGACGGGAGCAAAAATGTTCAGAATGTTGAGCTCTACCAATTTTCCATATACGTCAAAACTGCCAGACGACTTCTTATAAGAGTAATTGCCCTTAAATGACAAATTTTTTTTTTTTTTTTCATTTTTGCCTATTATCTTGAAAACTTTAATAGATAGAGATAAACTTTAAAACGCAAAAATAATCAGCAAAGACAACATCTACAAATCAGTCTAACATGGTCAAAATCGTCAGTCGACTCCTAATTAGAGTTATTGTCCTTTGATGACAATTTTTTTTTTGCATTTTTGCCTTATATCTTAAAATTATAATAAATAGATAGAAACTTAAATAAGCAAAAATGATCAGCAAGACAAGATCTACAATTAAGACAGTTATGGAGGAAATCGTCCAACGACTCCTTATTGGAGTTATTGCCCTTTAATGACGATTTTTACGATTTTATTTTTTTGCGTTTTGCCTTATATGATAAAAATTATAATAGATAAATAGACACTTTAAATCCCAAAAATGATCAGCAAGGCAAGATCTACTAACAAGTCAAATTTTGTCGATATAGCTAGTAGACTGTCACTCTTTATAGGAGTGGTTGCCTTTCAACAGTTCGTAATCTTCAATATAAATGAAGCTGTAACTGTATACCAGAAGAAGAAGAAATGAGGATTTGGTTTACCCTCTTGTGTTTAGAGTTGAATATGCACATAGACCAAGGTGAGCGACACATGTTCTTTAGCGCCTCTAGTTATTTGTTGTTAACATTATATGCATCATTACGCTTATTGCTAATATCTAATAGTTGATATCTTATATTCTGTAATAAGCCACACTCGTCCACCTGAGATATTGCAACAGTCTTATCCTTATATCATGATAATGTCAAGTCAATATAATATAAGTAGGGTTCGTTTTACTCAGTGTTTAGTTTTCTATGTTGTGTTTTGTGTACTGTTTTTTTTTTGTCTTTTTGTCTTTTTGTCTTTTTGTCTTTTCGTCGTTTTTCTTATTTTACCATGGCATTATCAGTTTGTTTCGACTTATAAGTTTGAATGTCTTTTTGGTATATTTCGCCTCTTTTTTTCAATACACTTTTATTGTCTGTATAGATTTTCCGAAGCTCTAATTTCGAAATACAGATTTTGGAAAAAAAACAAAAGTAAATCAAAATAAAGTTGAATAAACAATATTGTGTCAAAAAAGTCGCAAACGGCCCATGTTAACAACCAAACAAACATTTTATTCTATATTGATGGAAAATTATTTGAAATCTTTTTCAGCATGTTATAAGAATTTGCTATCTATAAGGATATGACCAACTTTCCGACTTTGACTATGTGAATAGTCAAATATCAGAGGAAATACCTCTTTGTAAAACATATAATCGAACAGACGTATTTCTTCTTACTCTTTCTTGTCTGTACTAGAAAGCCTTCATTTTCTTAAGTACGTATAACTTATTCTTTTGTGAAGTTGATTTTATTTCAGATTTGAATATTCAATGGGGTCTTAGCAACCCTTATCCAGTTTGTATTATCATGGAAGTATTATATTGACAGGAACTCCAACAAGCGGACTTCAAACGTTTATAGTGCAATGCCGCAAAATCGTTAAGTATCTGTTAATTTACTCAACATGTCATATGGATGCATGGGTTCCGATCAAATTTTTGGAACCTCGTGATTGATCGTAATTACGGAACATACCGAAATAACCGGATGTGTACTTAATTGTCAAGGAAATGACATTTACCAACCATGTCACTAAATGACAAATAAGTCAGTTTTTACGGGTTTTGCTGCGTAAAAACAAATAAAAAGAAAGAAACGAAATCCCCGCGACTGTTTTCACCAAAAATAACTGAAGAGTAAAAATACTCACAAGCCATAAACATTTCAGTTTAAATTACAATCAATTTAAATAGTAAGATTTTTTTATTCATGAAAGGTCCGTTGGCTAAACACGCATAACTGTTATATACATGCTAGGCTTGAAAATCATAAAATTCTTATTAAAAGTAAACGGAAAAGTTTTTATCAGCACTTATCGCGTTTTACTGCTAACTTTGACAAATATTTTAATTAATTAGTATTTACTGAAAGCATTTCCAACAAAACTTTAATTCAAAAGTTGGTTCATAGCGGCGGGGGCAGAGGGAGGTTAAAGCTAGGGCTTTGATCGGAAAAAATATCAAATAGTTTGATTAATTGTTTACCGAAAGTCCAATGGCAAATATTTCATGCAATTCAGCAAGAAACAAAAACATAAATTGCTTAACATACGGTGTAAGATGTTTCAGAACTGTTAAGCATTTACACACATAAATAAATTCAAACTTGGTTCCCATGATAAAATTTTAAGAATAAAAAAAATATTATACTCCTTAGGGCCCATCATGGTGATCGTTCTTTAAATGCATCTAGAAATATCTAAAGCTATTCGTAAAAAAAATCTGTCAAACGTCAGAGTAATCTCGGACTAGGTTGAATGTTTAAGGTTGTTTATAACTTTGGAATTATTATAAAAGGTGTAACAATTCAACTGTCTCGTAACCTGATAATGCTATGTAGAGGTCATCACGTGCGTGTAATTATTAACCTCTTTTAGTCTTTAAAACATATTTGATAAATACGTTAATAACATTTTTCTGCATTGAGACGATAGAGAAAACCATAAATATTCTTGTAACATTCGATTAAAATTTACTACCTTTAACTTAAATTTGAGCTATCCTTCGCCATCTTACACACTACACGCGCATCACATTGTTTTCCGCAAACACCCGACTTTAGGTACATGTAATTTTTAATATCGGATATTTCCCGATTTTCAAGTTCCAATGATTAAAACATATTAAACAAAACTAAAAATTAGCTTGCCCTCTTTCCAAATGCAGTTAATATTCTTATGTCATTCTGTTAAATATGGACCGATTTTTTAGATCTTTTCAGCTTTTGCCTTCATTTATTGAACGGAAACAGGTGTCGTTATTCATGTGGCGATTCACAAATAGCCACGGGAGTTTCCGTGTTTATTTACATTGGTAGGTAGATAAGACACTCGATACCAAATCACGTGATAAGACCAGCTTCAGTTAACAGAACAGGCGAAGGCGGCATCGCAGATACCCCACAAAGGAGTTATCACGTACTTGACAAACTGAGTCGGAACCTTTTATTTTCTAAAAGAAATCAGTGGGATGGGAATGTGCTAATTTTTCGTTGGAGTTCCTGTCAATATATCCATGGTATTATAAAAGTACTCATTTGCACTATTTATTCACATGAATCTATAATAATTTATTAGCATTTCTGAGATTCAAAAAACAAGCAAATATTAAGTTCGAAACTATCGTGTTTTTTTTCCTTCTGCTTTTTCTAAATGACACAGTCTTATCTTCCAATATTCCCGTTTATGTGTGTGAACTGTTTCTCATACATGTCCATCATTCGGTATAGGTCTTCTGGACCGTTGAGAAAAATAGAATTAGTTACAACGATATCGAGTCTGTTGTTTTAGCAACCAAGGTCAATGATACATAATTATCGATGACAAGTGGGCACTAGAAGTCAATATAAAACCAGTTTTTACAATCTTTTTAACAAACATTAATTACAAAGAGCAAAATGAAAATGGCATTTGCAATCGACTAGTTTATTACTGTTTTTGGATTCATTTACATGTCACCAAACAAAAATAATGTATTCTAACGAAAGTAACACGGCAGTTGTCCTTAGCATAGCTGACCCTTCACTCACAGGTTTTGGCTTTGTTCTTTTTGTGAATTATGGCTTTAATTTTGATTCCGCCACTGAATCGTTGTATGCTTAGAAATCCTTTGGCAAAAAAAAATAGGATAGTGACTAGACATGTTTGTCCATTTTTTTTTACAATTCCAATCATAGTTATTTATCTGTTTTTTTTCCATTTCTCAAATAAGCAATTGCGAGTGCAAAGTTTTAATATCAAAGGATTCTATATAGATTGTGTTAATATTATGGTTGTCTATCGTAACTACCATCTAACTGTGTAGAAAATATCATAAACTAAATTTATTGCTGAATTTGACGAGATAATATTGATGTAAAAAACATAGTTTGTTCTTTGGTTGTGCTGTTGCACAAATGTCCAAGGTTAGTGGGAGGGTTGGGCGACCGTTAACATGTTTAAACCCTCCAAATCCTATATGTGTCTGTCCCAAGTCTTGAGCATTTAATTCAGTGATTGTCGTGTGTTGCTGCCGGTCTATCACATTCTTTTTCGGTTATTGTTTTGTACATACATCAGGCCGTTAGTTTTCTCGAATTAATTGTTTAATGACTCGCTATGCCGTATAGGTTTTTGCTCATTGTCGAAGGTCGTAATAATAGTTGCTAACGTCTACGTCATTTTGGTCTCTGTTGGATGGTTGTCTCATTAGCAATCATACCATATCTATTGAACACCAGATACAGTATATATAAAACACTCACAATATATAGGAATATTGTATACGGCCATTACATAATAAAATAAAAAGTTGATTATAAATTTTAAAATCAGTTTTTTTATTTAAGTATATACAACATTTTTATATTTACGTACATAAAGTAATATCACAGACAGATTTAATCCTTGGTGCCTTAATTTACTAGCAAGACACGTGTTTCTTAAAAATTCAAAGGTTTTATACAGGATTCCTTTTCTTTTGCTCCAAATTTCTTTTATTTATTCGGAATGTTACGGTATACGTATATATACTAATTCTGAATTTAAACAATTCGTATAATGAAAAAGATTTTCGCCAAAACCTTCAATTGAATATTGCTTTTTTTGCTTAGATTCATAAACATTTATTATATCAAATGTAAACTGAATATTTTAACAAATGCATGTGTTTTGTTTCCGATTTGAACGCCCTTAGACATATACAATAGATTTAATCAGTTGATGATGTTGACGTTGCTACAATCCCGACAACAGCTAATGGTAAGATCACCGTCACAATGACATGTACACATAGAAGGATCAGCTTGGCCGTCCATGCCTGAAACAGATAAAAAAAATAATCGTTGTCGTTAACCTTGTATATAGTCAGCCATTTGCTTTTAATATATTATAATAATAAGTTTTATAGTGATTTAACGTAATCAAATACTATTATAATATTAACTTTTCAAGCATAAAACAAAACAGTTTAAGAGGATTCCGCCATCTTTAAAGCCTTTTTATAAATGATAACAATGATGGCGAACACAAAGAACGAATGAACAATAAAAAGACTGGAACTCACTTCGTGGTTTAGAAGGTACATACGTACATGTAGTTATTTTTGTAAAGGCGAATTTGCATTAAATTACCATTAACAAAAAATTAGTAAAAATTTGAAATAAAAATTATGTAAAATGCTTTTGTCCATTTAAAGATGTTATGTTAATGTTAGTGTTGTAATCAATTTTGAATTCGAATTTGAATTTAAGACGTTGTTTATAAAGCTTTATAAGTGATACTATTACATGTTACTCTAAATGCTATTTACCCCCATGTATGACTGACATAGACAAGTTATTTATTTTTGGGGTTCATGCTGCTCAGTCTTTAGTTTTCTATCTAGTGTTTTGTGGACTTGTTTCTCCTGTCATTGGTTTTCGGTTTGTTTTTTGCCATGGCGTAATGTCAGTTTCTCTTCGTCTTATGAGTTTTGAATGTCTCATTGGAATCTTCTGCCTATTTTTTTTTTATCTGTACACATAAGAACTATAGTAATTGAGTAAAGTTAACAATTTATGTCATCACTGTTACATTAGCCACGGCTTTTACTTAATATTGTCTGACCCATGAAACAGTTATTGACAAAGTTGTTAATCATAAACTATCAATGCTAAAAAGAATATTTTTCATTTCTGACTTGTATATTCAGTCTAAAATAAGCTATATTTAACATTGCTCTCGTGTAAATATTATATGGGATTATTTACATAAGGTATATCTTCTTTGTCCTTTTTTGTTTCTTCTTTATCTGCAACACCATCGCTATGAACTGCTTTCATTTCCCTGTCCGCTAAAGAAATATACTAAAATGTTAATTTTGTTCTTTAGACCCACATATCAGGAAATACTTGTCAATACTCCTCTAACTTGAGACTGTGAATCGTGGTGGTATGCCGTAAATACTACACGGACGTTCTTAAGAATGAAATTTTAAATTCTTCTATATTCAAGTCCGTGCGCTCCACAGAGAGTCATATAGTAAACAGTCATATCATAATCACATCACAGCTTAAGGCCTTTTCTGAACATTTGAAGGTCCCTACTATGTATTGGTTACCTAAACTACACAAAAAAACAATAAAATATCGTTTCATCTCGGCCTCTATTGAGTGTTCTACAAATGATCTTTCAATGCTTTCGTTTGCACAAATTACTTAAAACCTTTACTAAATTCTTCCATAGATATAAAGATTTGGTTTTGAAGTTTGGTTGTACTTGTAGAAAACTTATTTCAAACGGGATAACACATCCTAATTTTTACGGAGATGTTGTTTACCGAGCCCGGAATCCGGTTAAACTTATCGATCCTTTAAATAAACTCATTCTAAAAGGTTACCAATTCAACACTGTAATTAGATCTTTGAATATTGTTTTTATTGGTATTAATATTGATTTTGTTATCAGTAAATTAAAATCAAACTAAATATTAGAATCATGTGCAAAACAGTGTAGCCGAGACCATTGATTGGCGCGCTAAAATATCCCATTGACTGGGTCAGATTAGGTGAACGTTCGTCTGTAACGCCCACAACTCACGAGTATTTATTATAGACATTTAAACTGTGGGGTCACCAAAGGGTCTCAACGCCTAAATAAAATAATTCGAAAAACTAATCAGGAATAACCTTTGTGTTTTGATTTATATTGAATACTTAAACGTTCTTTACTTTTGTTTTTGTTATGTTTTGATAATGAATTTTTATGATATCGGACGTTCTTTCAGCAAAAAAGGATTTAACTGGCTTTAAAAGTTTCAATGGATGTGTTGATTATTATCTTTTTTTCGGACGTCAAAGCGATTTAACAATTGCGGTTGTCCAATTATGTCATCTTTTAACTTTTATCTGGTCAAAATTTTATTTTAGAACGAATGCATGATCAACTTTAAAAAGTGTGCAAACACAAAACATATAGACAAAATATACTTCTTTCCTGTCTTTTTCGTACTTGCAAGTTATTAGACAGTAAAAAGGCTATTTGGATCAAGCCTTGTGAAATTTGCATTTACGTTTTTGAATAGGTACAGTCAAGTTTAGCGATTGATAATTCATTGATAACATTCTGGCGTATCACAAACAAACAACTTGTAACGTCTCATTTAATTGGCCGAAAGATTTAAATACAACAACAATTGTAGTGTGCACGTGAATTGACACAGGTGACCGACAATGGAATGTACTACGTTACTACGAACGTAAAAACAATGATTTTTGGTCGAAATAATTAAATAAGTATTTTGTGAATTTCAAATAGTGGGGTCGAAATATTATACTAATAATTTGTGTTAAGTAATATTCTTTATGCATGCAGCACTTGTACCGCACTATGAAAAATATAAGGATAAAATAAAATACATGTGCCGCTTTTATACGGATGAATGTATGAACCACTTTAATTTCTTTCATATTGACGCTAGGTTATTATCCTGACAATGTCGTAGTTACTTATAATAAGGATCTCATAATACTGATCCATTTCAAATTTATGATGGGTTGCACATTCCTCTTTTATTTTTTTCATGCTATAAAACGAAAATAAAGTAACTAAGCGTTTGGTCATTCAGAAATGACGTGTCATAAACGAGCAAATTGTCCCCGAAAGATCGTATCATGTGTGCACGTGAATAAAGATGTACTATGCAATGTACTATCATGGTCACCACGAAATTCAAATGAATTCAGTGAAGGCATGTTGGTGTAAAAAGGTTTGAAATGTTTCATCGGCGAAGATTTTATTTTTGCATGTGTGGAACTAAAAAATAAATAAATACTTGTGAGAAATGTCGTAGTTTATAAGGAACTATATAAATGTACTGTTTTCGATATTAATTGGTTGAAAATTTATCCTTTAATTTCATACCGTAAGAATAGAGCTTTGCATAACATTGTTGAACTATCCGCCAAAGTAACGTGTGGCATGCGTGCGTATTAAAATGAAATACAAAATCATACATGTATGATAAACTTATAAACGAAATATTAAGAAATTAAGGATGACTACTGTAAAAGTATGTACAAAAATGGAGTCACCTTTTATCAATACATTTAGTGAATAACCACACTGTTTAAAACTGATTGTTTTCTATGCAACTATTTAAATATTTACAATATATAATTTTCAACCGAGGATAGCAAAACAGTTAATTATAAATTAAGAAAGTATATCGCTGGAGTTTATAAAGTACATTTCCTTCCACTGTGCCATGGTTTGCCATCTCCATTTTTTCTCTAAACAAAGCATGGCTGGTTACATGTTCTGAATTTACTTAGAAGTTCGGGATTTTTTTTTCAAAATCAAATAAACTAAATCAGAAAAAAAATCACACTATCCTAAAACTTATGAAAGAATATGAATAATGAACATGACAGTTTATAACACAAACCCATTTACTATAAAAATCGAGCAATATCTTTAGTATGTAATTTGGTTATTTTTGTAGTTAAGTACGGTTTCATTTCAAGTACAACGTTAACTCATCAAGTCCATTGAATAAAAGATAAGGCAGGGTGAGCAACTTGACAAAAAAAAGGCAGGATGACGATTTATGTAAAAAAATCAGGATAAACTAATAAATATAGTCAGGACCTAACAGACTGAAAAATAGAAAGACAGGACAGAGATAACAACTAAAAAAAATGCAGGACAAAATGTTTCATCCAAGTCCCCCACCCCCAATCAAAATAAAATGGTAGCTCCCTTAATCCAGAACCAATTGAGAGGAGACAGTTGAATTAAATATTTCGACGTGACTGTTAAGATTAAAGTTTCAAATTTTACATGCACATGTATAAAAGCTAGAATTCCCATGGGATAATCAAGAACACAATCATGTACGTGAATACGACGATGGAAGTTTTTAACGACCTTGACCGGCTACGTGAATACTGATCAGTCCATTCAGCTTTATAGTACGCGTGTTCTATTTTCGCAGGTGTGAGGTCGAAGGTTTGAATTGACCAATGAAAACGATCGTTCCTTAACGAGTTAATCTAATAAAGTTTGTTTGACTGATTATGTTGCACGACCTTTCGCTAAGCTTGGCCGCAGTTCAGTATACAATGTATAGTTTGATGATCTTTTCTGCTAACTACTATACTTGTGAAAAACCCTTGGCAACAGAAACATATTCAGCTTTTTTTTTAATCGACCCAATTTACATAGTAATGGACGACTTCGTACATTTTATGATCGCAAATAAAATATGTATATAATATACTGTGCACTGTAGTTCGTATATATACTGAGACCCTTTGGCAACCCCACAGCTTAAATGTTTATAATAAATACGTCGTGAGTTGTGGGCGTTACAGACGAACGTTCACCTAATTTGACCCAGTCAATGGGATATTTTAGCGCGCCAATCAATGGTCTCGGCTACACTGTTCTGCACATGATTCTATTTTTATATACATATGCACATTCATGGCTCTACAATCTGTCGATACCTGTATCTTGGCATTGCACAAGGTTATGTTTTTGTCTGACTGTTAATGACGTCTTTACACTAAATCCATTGGATGTTGGATGTGTACTGATTGATATTTTAGTCTTAGATGCAAGATTTTTTTTATTAGTTTTTATTGGCTTTGAACTAGCTGTCAGTAACTGCGAGTACTCTCAGAGTGTACCTAGTGTCTTTTTGTTGTGGGGATGTATAAGTCACCTGCCACGTCCACTCTGTGTTTTTTGTTAGATGTATTTCTGTTTGTATCCATCTGATGAGTTAAGCCTTTTTCAAATGATTTTTATATTTTGTTCTTATGTTAAACCTCGCCATATTCTGTATGTGCCTTTCCCAAGTCATCTTCGCTAGCCAAGGATTACGTTCCAGTCCCCTCCTCTCCACCCTTGGCGGATTAAGATAGAATTTAGGATCCACGAGGTAATGGTTTTCATTGGTCGCAGTTGTAACTGGCTGCATCAAATCAAAAAGCGCTTTTGAGATAATCACGTGTAAATGTAGAAAACGTAAATAAACAAATGCACGTGCTGATTGAGCAACAAATTTTTACTCCAAAAATATAGGACGATATTTAGTGACAATTTTAAAGTTCTTAATCAACTAATTGAAGTTCCTGTTTATGTTTTTCGCGCAATTCTTAGAATATCAACGTACATTTTCGGATCCTGCTTCACGAAATTTGTAAACACTAAGCAAAACCATTTTTACACCTCCACTCTGAAGAGAGTTCTAGGGCTGTCATTGGTCAAGCATGATGTAGTCGGAATGGGCGTGACTTTTGTCTGCTGGTAGAGGGCGCAGCATTGTAATCACAAATGTTGGCTCAATCTGTCAAGGATGGAAAGGAGGGGACTGGATCGTAATCCTTGGTTAGCGGAGATGGTCCCAAGTCAGGTGCCTGTAATTCAGTGGTTGTCGTTTGTTGCTGTTTAACATATTTTTTTCGTTCATTGTTTTGTACATATATTAGGCTGTTAGTGTTCTCGTTTGAATTGTTTTACATTTGTCATTTCGGGACCTTTTATAGCTGACTATGTGGTATGGGTTTTTCTCATTGTTGAAGGTTGTACGGTTACCTATAGTTATTAATTTCTGTGTCATTTGGTCTCTTGTGGAGAGTTATCTCATTGGCAATCATACCACATCTTCTTATTTTTATACATACAGCAATACAATAGGTGGTTGGAAAACAGGAAAGTCACTTATACAAATTCCTATCCTATTAAATGACGAAAACTAATTACAATGGACAGAACAATGTACAATCATATATATTTACAAAAACAAGAGAAACGGAAATCAACCTCTAATGAAAAAAACTTGCTCTTAACATTGGGTGACATGTAGTTAAGCCTACAAGAAGCATTCTGTGAATTTCTTAGTTTTCAATGTATAGTCTTGCACAATAAGAAAGTTGTTTTATTATTGAAATCCGAAATGTTCGGATAACTATGGAGTAACGTAGCTAAACTGACAAAAAGGGCTTCGCTTTTCCAAAGTTTTAGGCATAATGCACCAGAGAAAAGAATAGTTCATTATGAAAGGAGGTCATCTCATTTTTTTCATTTGTTCTTACGTCATCTGTGATTTACGACTATTTCATTTACCTTTTCAAACTGATTTATGATTTATGGAAAAATATAAAGCTGAATTTAAGAAAACGGTGTTGTGCATTTACAATTATAATACAGGAAAGTCATAAACAAGAAAGTTAAGAACATCATCTTACATTCTACGTCCTTTGCTTTCTTTCCTTCTATATATTTAAGTACTTCAAGAACTACTATCATGGCAATCTGGAATGATTCGTATCCAAGAAATACATAGTATGCTTGGTTTGAAGTATCAGCTTCTTCTAGTCGTATTCCAATAAATATGTTTATTACTGAAACGAATTAAGTGTATTCAATAACATACAAAATGAGAAAATATATCAGCAAACAGCTATTATATACGCAATTGACTGTCAAAATGAATTCATTATCGCTCTATTTATTTTTATTTGTCACTGATGTAATAAGGTTACAACCATACAATTATGGCAGTTAGGTAGTATATTTATGTCATTTCAAGTACAACAGACATGTGAGGACATAAACACATGAAATCCTCGTACATAGTAGTAGGACAATATATGTGTATACTCTGCACGTAAATAATTTGATTTATTAAAGTTTTCAATATGTTAATAAGAAACTACTTAAGAATTGAGTACTTTTTTTTGAAATTTTATTGGATGTAAAATCGTTGACCGAAACAAATTTTGTATGAAGTGCTTTATACTTAAAATATGCACACGATCACGGCTTTTACAACTCTATCAAATTACAAAAAGAAGCATTAAATTCTTATAACTACATTTATATGCTACGAGTTATATCAAGATTTTCATATGTTTTCCTATGCATTGTAGTAACGTCGTCATGGGAAGCACATGCAGTCATGAAAGTTGAATTTAATTGAGAAATGAAACTTGATATTGCAATGCCTTGCAATTCTTATCAGCCAATCGAAAGTACGCATTCTTATGAAACATACATGTATTGTAATCTTTGTAAAGTAAACATCGAGAGGAAAAACAGCAGTGAGAATTCAAATATAAAGAAGTGTGGAATTGTATCTTTCAATAACTCCATATTAGGAAAAGTGTTCACAATACTCACAGCCTAATATCAAAACACCTGCTCCAATGCAATAATGAACCCAATAAAACACAGGTCTGTATTTACTTTGTTTATCAGGTCTTAAAAGTCCAATTATTGGCTGAAAAGAAATTGAAAATTCATATTTGATGTACAATGCAAGTTATCGAGACTGTTCTCTGGCTTACAAGTTCCTTAAACTTAAAGATTCTGGTCATCTCTTAACTTTTTACCATCGACTAGCTGACCAGATCATCGAAGACACCTTCTTCGATTTCGCTAAAATTATTATATTTTTTTCTATCTGTATGACATGTAATTGTTGGTTTTTATTTTTTTTCTCTTACTGAAATGTTGATTTTTTCCTGGCTCATTACATTACATTAGTAGAAAGTTGTTCTTTTCAAAATATTTGTTAGATTTTTGCTCAAGTTAAATTGTACACTGGTCTTTTGGATTTTAAATCGTACGAACATAAAGTAATCAACCAAACAACAGAAAGGTTTCGAGATATGCAACACTTACATTTATAATGACAAAACAAAACACTATAATCCCTATATATGGATGAGATCGCTCAAAGTTGTTGCTTCCTACCTAAAAAGTAAAATTTGGTTATATATAAAAATTAGTAACCCATGCTTATGTTGAAGCGCACAGTTAAAAGTGATATAAACTGTTTTACCTTTTTATGAACAATACATATATACTGGAATGATTAAAACGTTTTTTTATAAGTTGTGACAAAAAATGATACATTTAAATTACATCATAATGACAATAGAAGTGTTATTGTTTTGATACGTTCCTTAATAACCTTCATAATGTTAGTTTATGAAAATCCATAATTCCATTTTAAAATCTTAAAGGTTCCTATGTAATTTAGAATTTGGCAAATGGTTATGCACTATAATTTGTGTAAAATAAGGACAAGTGACCTATGATTACAAATGAGACACCTAGCCCTAAAGATCAAAGGTCAAAAATGTAATCAACTACAGGTCACTGTATAGCCTTCCAAAATTGAGCATTGCATGTTTATTGTAGATGATGTATTTACTATAAGTAGAACACAGTTGTTGTTGCCATGAAGTATTTCGAAATATTTTTCAGGGTATATTTGAAACTTACCGTGAACTTTCCTTGAATTATGACGCCAAAAGATATTATAGTTAAAACAGCTGCTGAAACCATGAGTACTCTGTGGATCTGTGTAAAATACTTGAAAATGTTACTATTATATCTTATAAACACTATGTATATAAAACTAAGGATATGAGGTATGATTGCCAATGAGACAACTATCCACCAAAATTCAAATAAAGTGGATGTAAGCAATCATAGGCAACCGTACGACCTTCAACAATGAGAAAAACCCATACCGTATAGTCGGCTATAAAAGGCCCTGACATGAAAAATATGAAACAATTCAATTGAGAAAACTAACGGCCTAATTCATAACAAAACAATTAACGAAAAACAAATATGACAGACATGAACCAACGACAACCACTGAACTACAGGCTCCTGATTTGAGACAGGCACATAAAGAATGTTTTCATATAAAATAACATTGATAACTAAAATATAAATACGCACCATTAAGAAAACGTATGTTACCGATTCCGTTCTCGAATATTATTAACTTTCATCAGGTATGGTCCAGACCAAAATTTTGAAAACCAAACAAAAAATAATGATTGAAAACATAAAAACCAAAAGACCCTCATTAGAACAACTTAACCTGTTATGGCTCAACTTTGCCGTAGGGAGTTTCTGCATTATGTTTCGTACACTTATTGAATTGGAAAGGAGTAGATTCGATAAGGCAACAATACAGCACATATTTCTAGCTAAAAATTACAGTAAGTTTAATTGCCATTATCAGAATGCATTATAGTACAATGACTACATAGGGAACATGTATTTCTTAAATCTTATAATCAGCGTTCTTATTATGAAGTCAAAATATGCCTAAAATTATTCTATCCGCTACATATATATTCAATGAAGACAAGCAATATTTCATAGAGTATTTCGGGCCTAAAATATATAGCGCATGCGTCGACAAAACGATCTTTTGACATAATATAAAATAAGGAGATTAGCGGCATTATTGCCAATGAGGAAATTATTCATTTAAACCAAAGAACATAGATTTTAACAATTACAAGTCACTGTACGGCTTCCAACAATGAGCAAACCATATACCGCATAGAAAGCTCAAGAGATAAAACCAACAGCCTATTAATAAAACAACAATGAACTAACAACAAACATGGCAGACAGCAACTAACAAAAACAACTGGGCAACAAGTTCCTGGCTTAGGACAGTCGCATAGAATATGTAGCAGGGTTTAACATATCTGTGAGCTCTCAACCCAACCTCAGTGTATCGATCTAAGAGTACTCGTCCGTTAACTGAAGTTCAAGTTCTCCAAAACATAAAAATAGCCGAAACACCTCCGACGGATTAAGTGTAAAGATGACTGTCATGAACAGTCTAAGAATAGTATGACCTTGTGCATTGTCAAAATATTAGTATCGACAGGATTTAGAACCGTAGTGTTAATACCAGGATGTCAATATTAAACTATTACTGTGACTTGACTGTTAGTGTTGCTCTCAATCTATTGCAGTTCATTCAAAATTGCAGTTTATTTTATCAAACCAAACAGTTCATCTGATCAGAAATTTAAACCAACTGCTGTAGAAATTCACAGTCAAGTAGTTAAAGTACAAGGTGGTAAAACAAAGCATACATTTATATTTATATATATATTGTTATTGTAAAGAGTCATTCAAAAGGTGAGATGTAGTAATTTTTAAACTCAAAAGAAAACTAAAGACTGGGCAACACAATCCCCATAAAATCTGGGGTGATCTCAGGTGCTCCGGAAGAGTAAGCAGATCCTGCTCCACATGTGGCATACGTTGTGTTACTCATGTAAGAACGAACCCGGTGATAAGTCGTGGTTACGACAGTTGAAACATATCCGTAGTCATCTGTGAAACACATATTACATAACGGTCAATCAATTCGGGATGGCATCCTTAAAATTTTCGAATGAATAATTTCAACTTCACCACTTGAAACTCTTGGTTTAATAGCTTCCTTGTAAGCAGCAACCCTATATCAATGAAATCATGAAAGGAAATGCAAGCTCTGGAATATTGTATCAACTGAGAGATATATACTCCATATGCAGGCGCTGCTGGAATGTTGCTACATAGAAATGAAAAGTTCACAATTGTGAAGCTGAAATCATTCAAGTGATGACTTCAACTGAAAGCTCGATAGGAAAAACGAGTTTTGGAGTTTCATGTATCAACTGAAATATATTTATTTCTGTGACTGCATCTTACGATCCTCTACGATAGATAATTTAGCTAATCTGCAATCTATTCCATCTTCATGCCTAATATATCATATACTGTGTTACAACTCTAGATTCTACTGATGAGGAAAGGTAACACTAGGCCACCGAAAGCTGAATTTTTAGTTCAGTCTAGGTGGCCGAGTGGTCTAGAGCGCTGGACACAGCGCAGGCGGTGTTGTCTCGATATCTCAATAGCATGAGTTCAAATCCCGGCGAGGGAAGAACAAAAATTTGCTTTTGCAGATTTAACATTGTTGTGCCGAAATATGTATATTTTATATATATATAAACACCTAAAAAGTGTACAAAACAACACCAATATTAAAAAAAGGAAACATTAAATGTAATTATCTATAAATATTTCGGATAGCAGATATCCTTCATTAGTATGATTATGATGTAAAATGAATCATATCAATCTATTCTGATTTAACTACAAAAATGTATAACAAACTTGAAATTTATACAATTAAAACCAAACACAACAACGCTTGTACAATTCTAAAATTTCAAAAATGACTTAGGTGAGGTATTTACAACAGAGACTGCGTAGATATATATATATATACTCCATTAGTAGATGCTTCTTTGGTAGTTTTGCATCAATATTAATTGTTTATAACCATACGACATAAGAATAACAGAATTAAGTTTTAACAAATATTAAAGACATTGGTATATACATGTATGTGATTATATGTGGTTATTAAACCCGATATTTTTATTTATCCACTTATCTATGTATTTTTAAAATTTTTACCAGAAACCATATATCTGATCCAAAGACTTTCTTGCTTGACCACAACGGTTTATAGTATCTGGCAATGAAATAACCGAGATTTGCTAGTATCATCCACGCTATTATGGCAATACAACCTGAAAAAAACATAACATGTAGTATAAATAACTTTCTCTGAAATTTTTTCGGTAAAATTGTGTTACTCAAAAGATAAGGTTGTAATTATCCAACAAGAATGACTATAACCAGGTAAACGGCCAGCTGCTTATCTTTCTAACTTAAATGAAACAGAGTGGGGTTCGTGTAGCTCAGTCTTTATTTTCTATGTTGTGGTTTGTGTACTGTTGTTTGTCTATAGGTCTTTTTCGTTTTTAAGCCATGGCGTTGTCATGTTTTCGACTTGTGAGTGTGATTGTCCCTTTGGTATCTTTCGCCTCTCTTTTTGAAACAATTCTACAACCTCAGATTAAAATTATAAAGTGCTGACTTTCTTACAGAAGTGGTAATCACTTCACAATAATATGAATTTCATATTATAAATATATTTTCCTAGCAATGGGATAGAACTGTACGCTCTTTATATGTAAAGAACGCTAGCAAATCAGACTTTCTACTACATGTACAACTGTGGTGTTTGCGCTGTCAGAATGCCTATGCCGTATAAATTTTGACTTAAAAGTCACGGATCGTATACAGCCTTGTTTGTGACGGTGATAATGTGTTTCCGTAGAGTTTTATCCGTGAGGTTAAGGAATACAGGTTCGCGGAATTGTTACATTGGCCATTACAAATTGCTGATTTCTATCCAAAATATTAAATTTGGAACAGTTTTCAGAGTTGTAGTATAAAGAGAACAACTATATGCATTGTCTTTTATTATTACTGGGCTTGAAATATGATAGAATTGCACGGCAAAGACCTGATTTATACCTGTTGCTTAGTCTTGTACAAATATATTTTATATTTTGAGACCATGCAAAGTTATTCTATTTTTATGAGGATTCCGTAAGGGACCTGTTTAAAGACAACTTCCAAATACTCCCTAATTGTCTGTAACTGCAGTCAAGATATTGCAGCATATCCTTATACGCCATGGTTTATAAACTACCTAGTCAATCTATTGTTGCATACATTTAGTTTGGCCAGGAATCATTATAAGTTGAAATAACAAAACATCGATTTTTAATCAGACAGAATTTTTCTTCGGACAGCACAAAATCAAATCTTGTCATACTTAATTTAATATTTTCTGTATAAACCTACTCAACCAACTTTAACCTTTACCAATAATAACAGGAACACTTTATCGACGGATCTTCATAAAAAATGCTCATTTCATTCTCTGTTAACTTAAAAAAAACCAAGACTAACTGAACATACTCACTACAATTAAGCAATTCTTAATTTATTTGAATCATTTTTTTAATTTCGATTCCCAAAATGAAATTCCAAAATGTTTTAACTTGAATTAAAAAAATTTCAATTCGTGCTGATTGGTTGGTATACCAGTCAGTGATGGAGTTCGCAGAACCATTTTTCTCGGATCTTTAAATGGTAACATATACGATAGAAAGTGGTGGGATTTTACATTTTTTTCAGCGGTTGAAAACACTTTTTCTAAATCAATTTAGATTTGAATCGGATGACACAGTCACGAGTATAGTAAATAGTCTTTTGATGTTCTAAGACCAAGGATTTGTATAGTAAGAATGTGTTTAATTGTTAACTTCTGTAAATTTTTAATTTCATTCAATTGCCAAAACATTGAAAAAAATATGTCATTCTTGTAAATGATGACATTATTGCTATGTGCAACTTTGCTTCTTCCCGAACTATCAATTTCGGGAAATAAGTGCAAAACCATTTTTGTGGCAAGCTCAACTAATCTTACCACAACAAGTGATTGTGAGCTGCTTTTTCGCCAATATACATAGTTTGAGAACTGACCACACATTTCAAGAGATTTACTGCATTGTGTATTATCAGAAGTCCATAACTAGTCTAGTAATGGACTTCTGGTATTATATACAAGTAGCCGGTTTCATTATAAAGGCATTGAAGAAACGTTACTCATGCAGTGTGTCATAAATTATCCACTGCAAGCAAATGTTTTGACCTGTACTAATAACATTACATTTGTAAATGCATATGGGAAATGGTTTAACAAACAGGACAGAAGGGGTCTTCTAAAACCAAGTGATACATTTTTCTGTCTTGTCAGAGAACTTGAAACAATTGTGCACAAATTAATAGGTCAACCTTATAGTGTCAGCTCTCTGTCGAATGAAGGACAGAAAGTCACAGACAAAAAGTCACGTACAAAAAGTCACAGGACAAAAAGGCACAATTCAGTTTTGAGATTTTTTTTCTTTGAACAAGAAAACACTTAATTTTAAAATTATGGACATGGGGTCTGTATTTTGATTAGGTTGTTTTACTGCTAAATAAAGTAATTCGTTCCAATCGAAATTGTCTTCAGAAAGAAAAACTAAGGTTTCGTTTGCTCGTACTTCTTTCTGTCGTCCATAGAACTAAATTTTTTTTTAATTAATAATCTTTAAAGATTTGAACAATTTCATGACTCCGGGCATAACATAATTTTTTAACTTTCAAGTCGAAAGAAAAGAAAAAATAAAGATTGCCAAAAAACTGAAAAAACCCACTTTGACTGGTTGTTTTTCAGCGTACTAAGCCATTTTGTACTTGCGGTCATATTTTGTTTTATTTTCAGCAATAGACAATTTAAGTTTGAAACATTCATTTTTTTTTCATTTATCATTATTTTTAAGGAAACTTTGATTATAACATCTTAAATGAAAATAGTGTAATGCATTAAATGGTCTTTTTTTTAATTTGTATTGATGGCTTACTGCCTTATTTACATATGTCCTACATATCTTGGTCATATATAAAGAGAGATAATTGTATCCGAGATCGCATTATGCAATGGACTAATTTTATCATTTTTTACTGTCCCCCTTTTTTATCGATGGGCATTCCACTTCTTTTTGAAAATACTAAATCGAAAATGAAGTGCATGCACGAAGAAGTTTGTGTGACGTGAAAATACGTTGTCAAATATCTCACGGATTCATTTACACAAACAGTGCACTGATTCTTTATACTATTTTTACGAAATCATTTCAAATTTTGTTTTTCGAAGAAAGACCTATATTACAGTTTATTACAATAAGCATATTTAGAGTATGTCGACATGCCGCTGCATTATAATTCATCATTTTATGAAGGCATGTCAAACTGTCACTAGTATCAAAAGTCCTAGTAATGAACTTCTGCTACAATGTAGTATCCAATCAACTGTTCTATCGCACATAGATTGAAGAGACATTTATTGTCGAAATGCGCATCTGGTGCAGAAAAATTGGTACCGTTTATGTTATTGACGTACGGTGATGCTTGAAACAATGTAATTAAAAAAATGACATTGTCATAGTTTTAGGACACTGTTGTTATCTGTATATGTATCTGTATCAACATCAAAGAATAATGTACTTTATTGTCGGAGTTGTGGACTACTGATGTAAATTAATGTTGATTTCGACAACGAGCTTTGTAACCACAGAGAAAAAGTTGAGTGTACTTGTCTTTTCAACAAATAGTCATCTGTATTGACGCATATAAGACAAAACAATGGGAAATGAATATGACTATTACTTAAGTTATACATCCTTAAAATGTCTTTTCAAGTGTACTCTTTTGCTAAAATTAAATATGTTATCGACGTTATACAGCATTACCCTAAAAAGTCACAGATAAATTTTCTTTGTGTCAAAAAGATTCGACGCTGTACAGGAGTACATCTGCCTCACCCTCCCTCAAAAGTCCCAAATAAAAAGCGTATGTATATTATTTTGTATAATAAATGATAAAATATATGAACGAATATATATACACTTGCTATATAAGTGCATTACCAAGACTGAATGAAATACAAAATAGGGTGTGGGACATTGTGAACACTGATGTACATTTCAACGGTCGTAAATATTAGTTACAATTGTGATAATAAGACGACTATATACTAGTATATTTCGGTTATTGTATCTGTTGTGTCATGTGTTTGATTTGTTTTGAAACTCTTGTGATTTTTATGTCTGCGCGTATGACTAAGTAAAAATGATATTCTATACCTAAGGTGAGTATGATGCGATAAATGATTGAATGCATGGAAGACACACGTGAGATACAGGCTCATAGGATCCACTGTCTTTACAAACAGTACAATGTTTAGATCTTCTTACCGTGTGCTTTCACTCTCATATCAACTCCAGCACATACGTTGGTTAACGATTGTAAGTCCACTTTAACCGAAGAAAATGACCTCCCAGAAGGTGTATGTTGTTGTATCGTATTACCTACAGAAATAAATTAAGCACTAGTCCATTATTTGAATAGGAAAAGTTTACACTGCTCACAGTTATGTGACTGTTGAACTAGTTAGCTGTTTGTGTAATTGGTGATTGGCAAATAATTATACAATAATAAAAATAATTTTGGTTGTTCATCTGATAAATGTGAACAAGCAAATTGCTTTTTGATCTCTCTTTTAAACTTGGGTCGCTTAAGAACTCTGCCTAATGTATGGACACTCGTCTAGTGTAAAAGACTGTACCGTAAGATGTGTGTGTGTGTTTTGTATGTGTCGTTTAGTTGCTGCCACATCTCTATTTAATTTTTAAAACATGCATCATATAAAACTAATTATACCCCCAGAGACGGTTCCTCTTGCATACAGTATGTAATAATCATTGTTCAGGTTAAACACTTGTGAGTTACTGTTTGCTATTGTTCTTGCAAACGAACATGTAAATAAGTTCCCTATATAGCTTCCTGTTGTTCCCGAAAGACCGTCAGTTGGCTAAAAAATATAAATTCATTTTCGTAAATTTCAAATATTTTGCAGGTTTTCATTGTTCGTCCTGTGTCTAAATTAGAGACAACCCTGTAGTTCAAATCTCATAAATCTACTAAGAATATATCAATGAACGTAAAAAAACTATGGATTCGCATGAACTCATGAGTCGAAAGGATAAAATATATCCTGTTATGCATGCATCTCCCACTAAGCGATTCCCACTCAGTCAAAATGTTACAATCAGGAATATAGGACACAATCGATAAATTTACAGATCAGACGAATATAGTTAATACTTTTATCTAAAAATTATTAACCGCGGAAACGTGTCGCTGGTGAGTTGAGATCCAGACCCGTCGTATCGGTAAACCGATTCGTCGTGGTGACCTTTTAAATTCATTCAGTATATATTTAATGAGAGAAATGGTCCATAAGTCACATTATATCTAAAACGACTGATAGAAACTGACTAAAAAGCATATCCTTCATCTCGTACATGTATATAAATTGGAATTAAGAAACATCTTTTTAACTTTAAATTACGTATAATTTATGTAACGAGTCATACTTTTATTGAACACTTTTATTTATCATTAGTAACTTACGTTAGGTGCGATAGGGGTATTTGTACGGCCTGTATTATAAGAGTTCTGCACTGTAAATGCTGCATTACTGTTGGTCATTAAACATGATGTAACACTAGTGTCACCCTTAAAGAAATAAGCGGATATATTAATATATAAACACCAAGTCGATTGATTATTCAGTCTTTTCAAATCGACAAGCTTCACAGTAAAACATTTAGGATATTTACTAATATATTTACTTAAGATCTCATCAGAGATACCATTCAATTAAATTTTCCATTTTTTTTTTCATATTGACTTAACAATGGCTGCAGCTGTTCTTTCGAAATGCAGAACGTTGAAACAATAAACACTTCACTTTTACAATCAAAAGAAGGACCTTGTATTCTAGAATGAAGATTCGTATTGCTTTTTCAGAATTATATACCGACTATTATTTTATGAATGAATAAGGTACCATGACACAAAAACTCAAAAATTCCTATCTTTTTAACAATAAATAATATATTAGTAACATTCTTTTACAATAATTTCTAACCATTGATTGAGGAGAAGTTGATAGTCCAACCGCACCATACTGATCAGCATTTGAAGCGAGTTCTACTTGAATTGTAAAATTAATTGCTGTGCTGTCACTAGTCCATGATATAAGAAACGTAGTGCCATCATCACCACAGTCACTATAACAACCCTTTGTTTTCCCACACGCACTGTCCGGAGTAAATAGTGCCTTCAATTTAAAATTATTCAGTTCAAATGTTTTAAACAGTGTGTGTCCAATTATCTCAAAACAATCTATAATTTATAATGTCCGTTCACAGTTAAATGCTAGAAGGACGGTTTTTCCATTGTAGCTTACTTAGTAATTGTTATGGTATGGAAAAGGAATATTCTTAACAAAAAATATTTCATTAACATAATGACTTATTAGCCTTTCAGGTGTGTTGTTTCTGATTATTTGATTTTAACAGCAGTATTAGCAACCTTAACCTAGTCACCTGTCAATGCATGTAGTAGCGAGCACAATTCAACCCTGCTTTCCAAATCATGACCGCCTTACCTTTCTTTGTTCAAGTTAGTAATCTCTCTGCGTTTTTTTTTTATTGATAGTTGTAATGTTAGAAGTATGATCTGTGATGTTAGATGTATGATCAGTAATGTTAGAAGTATGATCTGTAATGTTAGAAGTATGATCTGTAATGTTAGAAGTATGATCTGTAATGTAAGAAGTATGATCTGTAATGTAAGAAGTATGATCTAAGGCAAAGGGGAAGTTTGTGCGCACGTAAAACTGGTTTAAATCTTCCACAAGTTGTTCCTGTGCCCAGTAATGTTAACTTGATCCTGTGCCTAGTAATGTTAACTTGATCCTGTGCCCAGTAATATAAACTTGATCCTGTGCCCAGTAATATTAACTTGATCCTGTGCCCAGTAATGTTAACTTGATCCTGTGCCCAGTAATGTTAACTTGATCCTGTGCCCAGTAATGTTAACTTGATCCTGTGCCTAGTAATGTTAACTTGATAATGAGTTAGTTGTTTTATGTCTTTGAACGTCCGTTTTTCGGAGGAGACCGTACATGTTGGTAGTTAGTTTGGTCTGTTGTAATGTTCAATGTTTTAGTAATTCCTACTATCCTTTTAAGGATTTTTTTAAATGTATTATGTCAATCGATTTAAGTTTGTACTCACTTGTGTGTCGATCAGAAAACAAAGCCACAACAAAAGTACGTTCATTGTAAAGAATATCTGTAAAATAATGAATTATAAATGTAAACAAAATCATTCAAACTTGACAGTTTTTCGTTCATTATTTTGTACATAAATCAGGCCGTTAGTTTTCTCGTTTGAATTGTTTTACATTTGTTATTTCAGGGCCTTTCATAGCTGACTATGCGGTATGGGTTTTATTCATTGTTGAAGGCCGTACGGTGACCTATAGTTGTTAATTTCTGTGTCATTTGGTCCCTTGTGGAATGTTGTCTCCACATCTTCTTATTTTTAAATTAACAAGCAAATATAGCTTACAAACAATACTTGTCAGAGATCAGTGAAGTGTGTATTATAAAGATAGTTCTCCAGAAATAGCGAATGTGTATATTGAAGACAAACAAAACTGTTGAACTTTCATTCATTCCAGAAATAAATTATTTATGAATAAGATTTTATTGAATCATGTGTATGTCTACATACCTTAAATGTGTTCGATAACTATCCAATTTTATGTATTGAATATTCACACTATTTTAATATGTGTGTATGAAACATGTCCGGGTGTTGGTTATAAATCTCTAGCTAATATGGACATATTACCATATTTCGTGTCGGTAATATACATCCTCCTTATGTACCAATTTCTAATATAAATGTTTAACCTTTCTGCTTCATATAACATGAATAAAAGCTGACTTAAAAAACCAATACTACATTAAGATTTTTGCAAAATCAAATGGCATATTGATTTATAAAATTACACACGATCTTTTGAACATTTTGAAGGTAAAACTCTATTTTGAATTATATAGCAGTAATAATATTGTTATTTTAGAAATGACAACTTATATTAATAAGGATAAAGTACATGATCATTATAGTACCACTCTGAGCATACTTTGCATAAAATAATGAATACAAAAAATACGATGATGCACCAATACAACATTTCATAGCATCCGATAATAAACATGTCTTTGCTTAAGGATAGAAATCCTCATCTACATCTACATCTAAATTTCAAAAACACCGTTTGTTCGACATCAATGCTGGCGGACTATACATCTGATTCAATGATTTGATACGAACTCGATTTAGGTGGTACATATTAAATGTAACTTTCATTGTATTCATCTAATAATTTAAGCAATTTTAGAATGGAGTGAAGTGGGCAAAAGCGTTTCCAGTGATTTTCTTCTGTTAGTAAGATAATCTAAAATAAGTAATTGCACATATTATGTGTTTTGATGCTGTTACACAGAATAGAAAAAAAATTGTGCCTGTCCCCAGTCAGGAACCTCTAGCCTTTGTTAGTCTTGTGTCTTTTTTAAATTTTGGTTCATTTGTATGTTTCGGGATTTAGTGTGGCGTCCATTTCGCTGAACTAGTAAACATTATTGTTTTTGGGCCAGCTTAAACCTGCCTCTGGGTGCGGAATTTTCTAGCTGCATCGAAGATTTATTGGTGGCCTTGGGCTATTTTCTGCTCTGTGGACGGGTTGTTGGTCTTTTGGCACATTCCCCGTTTCCCTTCTCTATTATATGAGAATCATGACAGCCCTAAACTTAATTGCTTTATAAAAAATAATAGCTTAAAAAGCTGTGTGTGAAATGCCCCATTTTATTAACTCCTTTAGGTAGAATCATACTTTTACCATCTTCAACAAACATTTTTATTCATGTTAAAATTTGTTAAATGTTAAGATAGCTATATATATCCACGTTTCAATAAATGTTGATTGATACTTTAATCGATGAGAACATGATTAATTTATAAGTTGCAATTGGCATTAAACTAGCTTTCAGTCACTGCGAGTACTCTTACATCAATGCTTTGTGTCTCTTGCTTTTATGATAGTTTTTTTGTGTGCTTCGTAAAGATCCATTGAGTTAAGTCATTTGTAAGTTTGTTCTTATGTTGTGCCGTTACATGTACACTACTGTATTAATCTTTGGAGTTTAGGATTTCCAATATTTCTAGAATGACTACACTACCAAGAACTATATATATAGTCATTATAAATTTTTAATCCCCTCTAAATGTAATATGATTTTTCATAGCGACGGCCATCTTGATTTTAAGATCAACAACAAAAAACCGACATTTAAAAAAATACCAGCATCTTAACATATGAATAGTACATAGACTCGATTTATGAACAACTTGCGTGTTTTTTCGGAGTCTTTTTTCAAATTATGTTTCACAATGACGTCTTGAACATTAAATGCTGTGATAACTGTCTCATATTTTGAATTTAGCAACAGTAGTTTATAACCATGTCGAAATTGACATATTTGATGAAAGTTGCCATTTTACATTCTTATTGAAAAATATCTACATGAGCCAACTTGGCCTTACCCCAAAAGATAGTTCTCACACTTTATGATCATTACAAATTACATCATGTAGCAACATATCTTTTTAGCTTCATTTTGTTCTTTTATTAGAGATTTTGCTAGGAACACCCAAATGAGATTATTTAAATATTTAAACCAGAGTATTTCTAAACGTATCTATGTTATAAAATCAAAGAAAAATCGAAACATATATGCACATAATCATGTTATTTGGCTATGTCTTATGGTTAGACAAGAGAAATTTACCAATCCTCTTTTGTACGATGCGTAATTAACTGATTTTGACTCGTCAACTTATTGAAATAAGATATCTCTAGTGAAGCAGTAACTGTTGGCTTTTTCTGTCTATACCAAACAGGTTTAATTCGTGTCGCTTAATCTTTAATTTTCTATATGATGTTTTCTGACATTTTTGTCTTTCATTTTGATCTAAATATTGTCTATTGTCTTCGTCTTATGGTTTATGACTCCCTGCTAGGTAGCTTCTCTCTCATTTTATTACTGTGCGGAACCAGTCCAGTAGTGTAAGTTACCAAACAGTAGTAAATTAAATCAATATAAACTGATATATCTTCGTGCAAAGTTTATATCTTTGAACATTTAAGGAGTCGAAAAAGCAAATACTTTGTTATTACTCAAAGACATAGTTTTGAAATTACTGCAACAGTAGTGTACCGATGTTCACATCGGAGTAAATAAATCAAGGTAACAAACAAAAATTAAGGGAATCTCATGAATTTCAAAGGGAACGATACATGATGAGTTTCCTGCTATGTATACATCACCTAGCATGAGAAATCACACTCAGTCAAAATATCACAATCGATCAAATCACTGATTAAACGACTATTATGGAATCAAAACATCTAAGACTGAGAAAGCATTTCGTTAGTGAATTGAGAAATAGACACATCGTATCAGTCAATCAATTCGTGATGGTAACCGTAAAAAATATGTAGTGTAGATTTCAATCGTCCTTCCTCTTAACTCTGTTGGAACAGTTTTAGTTAAAGGAGAACCCTAAGCAATTTGTGGTCAACTTTTGCGGTTGTGAACATTGCACATATGATGATATCAATTCATATGAAACACGAATGATGAGTGTAAACTTACGCCACATTAGGTGTTTAAATATACCCCTATAAAGCCTTTATCCCTATATTGCCGGATACAAATACAAATCTGTCAGTGAGAAGTGGTGCCCAGATGGTGTTTTACATGTGAATTAACATCATTATAGAAAAATGACTCAACATTGTAAATCGTCACGATATCTTTTCATTATACATTTAAACAAAATAAACAGAAGCAACCCGGATGTCGTATGCATGAGTAATTATAAATATAAGTAAACATACACGTATATAGTCTATAAATATCAAAACAAAAAATTTACACAATGTTCAGTGCATGTGAAGTTTATATGTCCAAACTTATTAAAGGTTGTTTTACTAATAAATTGAACAAAAAATTTACAAACATAGAAAATGCAGGAATATCAAAATACTAATATATTATTTTCACATAATATTGCTTCCTAATAAAAAGACCCTTTAGTTGAAAGCAGTAAATAAAGGCAACAGTAGTATACCGCTGTGCAAAGTCATTAATCGATTAAGAGAAAACAAATCCGGGTTACAAACTAAAACCGAGGGAAATTCATCAACTATAAGAGGAAAACAACGTAACAACAGAAACACTGAACTGCAACAAAAACAAAAGCCAACATACATAGAAACGGACTATTTGATAAAAACTGCCATATTCCTGATTTGGTATAGGACATTTTAAGAAAAAATGGTGGGTTGAACCTGGTTTTATGGCTAGCCAAACCTCCCGCTTATATGGGAATGTTAAAAAATATCGCTAAAATGACAACACTACGTGACAGGAATACAGTACAAACAAACGCAAGAACACTCAGCACGAAGAAATGCATTAATAAATAATATAATAGTACATTACAACATGTAAACCGCAGAATAACAACGGACAACCCCCATTAACGACAGCACAGGACACCACAAACTGCACGTCACATGAATGGATCAACGCCACAAAAAGTGACGTATATATAATCTTGAAATTCATAAAACTATATGGAACGAGATACAAAAATTCACAATTATTTTCACAATACTAGTCCAAATAATTATCATGATTATGACGGTCTTGAAAGGTTATTTTAAATCAATGCTGTGTCGACGTCATAATTATTTGGACTAACACAATACTTTATCCATGTAAAATTGAAATTAACTCGACTATACTGAAAAATAAGACATATGTGAAATGTACCGAAAAAAACAGAATTCACACCACAAACGATAAGACATAACACAATGTCTAACCGTACTTACAAAAGAAACATCATAATTAAATACATGAATGTTGGATGTATAAATACCGAGAAACGTCGTATAGCAATGCGAATTCACACTCGGCAAAACAGTCATATTCGGGAATAGGTCACGTTCGGTACTTAGCAGACAGACGACGTAGATGGTAAACCACAATCTAAGACGTGGTAAAAATGTCGTTAGTTAGTTTAGACACAGACACATCGTATGGATTAACCCATTCGTGATGGTGTCCATAAAATTTACGAAGTGTCATTTTTAATCTTTCCTCCTCGTAGCACTGTTGGAGCAGTTTCTGCGTAAGGAGCACACTCCTGTATATGAATTCCGTATAGTGTGAACATGCACGAGCATAACGTATCAATTCAGATATGTAAACACCATACGACGGAGCAGAGGGTATATTACTGCTGAGAAATGGGAAATTGGTAATTGGGAAGTTCAAATCACCCCGTTTGTCATAGATTTTAGTGTGAAGTCGTCCATCTGTGTCAATATTGAGGAAAAGTTCAAGGTATGAAGCAGTCCTTCTAGTATCAGTAGTATCCTTAATTTCAAGTTCACTGGGATATATGAGATGCAAGTACTGACTGAAATATGGGTTATTTAGTGTTAGGACATCATCAATATATCTAAAAAGTAAAATTAAAGAGTTTCGCAAGGTGCTTTTTCTTTTTGTCTTTTAGAAGGTTCTGAATGAATTCTGCTTCATACGAGTACAAAAATAAATCGGCCAGAAGGGGTGCACAATTAGTACCCATTGGAATACCGACTGTCTTTTGAAATATCAATCCTCCAAACTCAAAAATATATTGTCGATTAAAAAGTCCAGCATTTTGATAATATCATCTTCAGTGTATTTTCTGATAGAATCAGTGTGGTTCTTCACGAAATAAGAATTATAATAAACCCAAAACAAGAAATTTATATCTACGATTCCCATTTTTATAGAAAAAGCTATAAAAACATAATTATAT